CTGGTACATGACAACTTACACCTGTACCATGACAACTTACACCTGGTACATGACAACTTACACCTGTACCATGACAACTTACACCTGGTACATGACAACTTACACCTGTACCATGACAACTTACACCTGTACCATGACAACTTACACCTGTACCATGACAACTTACACCTGGTACATGACAACTTACACCTGGTACATGACAACTTACACCTGGTACATGACAACTTACACCTGGTACATCACAACTTACAACTGGTACATGACAACTTACACCTGTACCATGACAACTTACACCTGTACTATGACAACTTACACCTGTACCATGACAACTTACACCTGTACTATGACAACTTACACCTGTACTATGACAACTTACACCTGTACCATGACAACTTACACCTGTACTATGACAACTTACACCTGTACCATGACAACTTACACCTGGTACATGACAACCTGTACCATGACAACTTACACCTGTACTATGACAACTTACACCTGGTACATGACAACTTACACCTGTACTATGACAACTTACACCTGGTACATGACAACTTACACCTGTACTATGACAACTTACATCTGTACCATGACAACTTACACCTGGTACATGACAACTTACATCTGTACTATGACAACTTACACCTGTACCATGACAACTTACACCTGTACTATGACAACTTACACCTGTACCATGACAACTTACACCTGGTACATGACAACTTACACCTGGTACATGACAACTTACACCTGTACCATGACAACTTACACCAGTACCATGACAACTTACACCTGTACTATGACAACTTACACCTGTACCATGACAACTTACACCTGGTACATGACAACTTACACCTATACCATGACAACTTACACCTGTACCATGACAACTTACACCTGTACTATGACAACTTTCGCCTGGTACATGACAACTTACACCTGTACCATGACAACTTACACCTGTACCATGACAACTTACACCTGTACTATGACAACTTACACCTGGTACATGACAACCTACACCTGGTACATGACAACTTACACCTGTACTATGACAACTTACACCTGTACCATGACAACTTACACCTGTACCATGACAACTTACACCTGGTACATGACAACCTGTACCATGACAACTTACACCTGGTACATGACAACTTACACCTGGTACATGACAACTTACACCTGGTACTTGACAACTTACACCTGTACCATGACAACTTACACCTGGTACATGACAACCTGTACCATGACAACTTACACCTGGTACATGACAACTTACACCTGGTACATGACAACTTACACCTGGTACATGACAACTTACACCTGTACCATGACAACTTACACCTGTACCATGACAACTTACACCTGGTACATGACAACCTGTACCATGACAACTTACACCTGGTACATGACAACTTACACCTGGTACATGACAACTTACACCTGGTACATGACAACTTACACCTGGTACATGACAACTTACACCTGGTACTTGACAACCTACACCTGGTACATGACAACTTACACCTGTACTATGACAACTTGCACCTGGTACATGACAACTTACACCTGGTACATGACAACTTACAACTGGTACATGACAACTTACACCTGGTACATGACAACTTACACCTGGTACATGACAACTTACACCTGGTACATGACAACTTACACCTGTACCATGACAACTTACACCTGGTACATGACAACTTACACCTGGTACATGACAACTTACACCTGGTACATGACAACTTACACCTGTACCATGACAACTTACACCTGGTACATGACAACTTACACCTGTACCATGACAACTTACACCTGCACCATGACAACTTACACCTGGTACATGACAACTTACACCTGTACCATGACAACTTACAACTGGTACATGACAACTTACACCTGTACTATGACAACTTACACCTGTACCATGACAACTTACACCTGTACCATGACAACTTACACCTTTACCATGACAACTTACACCTGTACCATGACAACTTACAACTGGTACATGACAACTTACACCTGTACCATGACAACCTACACCTGTACCATGACAACTTACACCTGGTACATGACAACTTACACCTGGTACATGACAACTTACACCTGTACCATGACAACTTACACCTGTACCATGACAACTTACACCTGTACCATGACAACTTACACCTGTACCATGACAACTTACACCTGTACCATGACAACTTACACCTGGTGCATGACAACTTACACCTGGTACATGACAACTTACACCTATACCATGACAACCTGTACCATGACAACTTACACCTATACCATGACAACCTGCACCATGACAACCTACACATGTACCATGACAACTTACACCTATACCATGACAACCTGCACCATGACAACTTACACCTGTACCATGACAACTTACACCTGTACTATGACAACTTACACCTGGTACATGACAACCTACACCTGGTACATGACAACTTACACCTGTACTATGACAACTTACACCTGGTACATGACAACTTACACCTGTACCATGACAACCTGTACCTAGACAACTTACACCTGTACCATGACAACTTACACCTGGTACATGACAACTTACACCTGTACCATGACAACTTACACCTGGTACATGACAACTTACACCTGTACCATGACAACTTACACCTGGTACATGACAACTTACACCTGTACCATGACAACTTACACCTTGTACATCACAACTTACACCTGTACCATGACAACTTACACCTGTACCACGACAACTTACACCTGGTACATGACAACTTACACCTGGTACATGACAACTTACACCTGGTACATGACAACTTACACCTGGTACATCACAACTTACAACTGGTACATGACAACTTACACATGTACCATGACAACTTACACCTGTACTATGACAACTTACACCTGTACCATGACAACTTACACCTGTACTATGACAACTTACACCTGTACCGTGACAACTTACACCTGTACCATGACAACTTACACCTGTACTATGACAACTTACATCTGGTACATGACAACTTACACCTGGTACATGACAACTTACACCTGTACTATGACAACTTACACCTGTACCATGACAACTTACACCTGGTACATGACAACTTACACCTGTACTATGACAACTTACACCTGTACCATGACAACTTACACCTGGTACATGACAACTTACACCTGGTACATGACAACTTACACCTGTACCATGACAACTTACACCTGTACCATGACAACTTACACCTGTACTATGACAACTTACACCTGTATCATGACAACTTACATCTGTACTATGACAACTTACACCTGTACTATGACAACTTACACCTGGTACATGACAACTTACACCTGGTACATGACAACTTACACCTGTACTATGGCAACTTACACCTGTACCATGACAACTTACACCTGTACCATGACAACTTACACCTGGTACATGACAACTTACACCTGTACCATGACAACTTACACCTGGTACATGACAACTTACACCTGTACCATGACAACTTACACCTGGTACATGACAACTTACACCTGGTACATGACAACTTACACCTGGTACATGACAACTTACACCTGTACCATGACAACTTACACCTGGTACATGACAACTTACACCTGGTACATGACAACTTACACCTGGTACATGACAACTTACACCTAGTACATGACAACTTACACCTGGTACATGACAACTTACACCTGGTACATGACAACTTACACCTGGTACATGACAACTTACACCTGGTACATGACAACTTACAACTGGTACATGACAACTTACACCTGTACTATGACAACTTACACCTGGTACATGACAACCTGTACCATGACAACTTACACCTGTACCATGACAACTTACACCTGTACTATGACAACTTACACCTGTACCATGACAACTTACACCTGTACTATGACAACTTACACCTGTACCATGACAACTTACACCTGTACTATGACAACTTACACCTGTACTATGACAACTTACACCTGTACCATGACAACTTACACCTGTACTATGACAACTTACACCTGTACCATGACAACTTACACCTGGTACATGACAACTTACACCTGGTACATGACAACTTACACCTGGTACATGACAACTTACACCTGTACCATGACAACTTACACCTGGTACATGACAACTTACACCTGTACTATGACAACTTACACCTGTACCATGACAACTTACACCTGGTACATGACAACTTACACCTGGTACATGACAACTTACATCTGTACCATGACAACTTACACCTGTACCATGACAACTTACACCTGTACTATGACAACTTACACCTGTACCATGACAACTTACACCTGTACCATGACAACTTACAACTGGTACATGACAACTTACACCTGGTACATGACAACTTACACCTGGTACATGACAACTTACACCTGGTACATGACAACTTACACCTGTACCATGACAACTTACACCTGGTACATGACAACTTACACCTGGTACATGACAACTTACACCTGGTACATGACAACTTACACCTGTACCATGACAACTTACACCTGTACTATGACAACTTACACCTGGTACATGACAACTTATACCTGTACCATGACAACTTACACCTGGTACATTACAACTTACACCTGTACCATGACAACTTACACCTGTACCATGACAACTTACACCTGGTACATGACAACTTATACCTGTACCATGACAACTTACACCTGGTACATGACAACTTACACCTGTACCATGACAACTTACACCTGGTACATGACAACTTACACCTGTACCATGACAACTTACACCTGTACCATGACAACTTACACCTGTACCATGACAACTTACACCTGTACCATGACAACTTACACCTGGTACATGACAACTTATACCTGTACCATGACAACTTACACCTGGTACATGACAACTTACACCTGGTACATGTCAACTTACACCTGTACCATGACAACTTACACCTGTACCATGACAACCTATACCTGTACCTCACCAGCTGGGAGTGAACACAAACTCCAGCCAGGAGTTGACCATTGAGGCCATGGAGAGCAAAATCTTTCCTGATGAAGGGTAAGTTTTCAAGGTGGTGTCTCACTTCACTTCCTGCCTCACTTCACTTCATGTCTCAATTCATGTCTCACTACATGTCTCACTTCATGTCTCACTTCATGCCTCACTTCATGTCTCACTTCTTGTCTCACTTCATGTCTCACTTCATGTCTCACTTCATGTCTCACTTCATGTCTCACTTCACTTCATGTCTCACTTCATGTCTCACTTCATGTCTCACTTCATGTCTCACTTCATGTCTCACTTCATGTCTCACTTCATGTCTCACTTCATGTCTCACTTCATGTCTCACTTCACTTCATGTCTCGATTCATGTCTCACTTCATGTCTCACTTCATGTCTCACTTCATGTCTCACTTCACTCCGTGTCTCACTTCATGTCTCACTTCATGTCTCACTGCATGTCTCACTTCATGTCTCACTTCACTTCATGTCTCGATTCATGTCTCACTTCATGTCTCACTTCACTCCGTGTCTCACTTCATGTCTCACTTCATGTCTCACTTCATGTCTCACTTCATGTCTCACTGCATGTCTCACTTCATGTCTCACTTCATGTCTCACTTCATGTCTCACTTCATGTCTCACTTCATTTCTCACTTCATGTCTCACTTCATGTCTCACTTCAAGTCTTACATCATGTCTCACTTCATGTCTCACTTCAAGTCTTACTTCATGTCTCACTTCACTTCAAGTGTCACCTAATCTTTGACATCCAGTATCATGCCGAATACCAACTCGACCTTGACCTTGGTTTGGGTCAGGTGTGAGCGACATGTTCACCTCGTGGCCTTGATGCTGAAGGCAGACGACGTCGTGGAGGTCATGCCGCTGATTGCCGCCGAAAATTGGGCGAAAGAAATGTTCGTGGTGGCTCCAAAGTAAGTTTGTTCGTGGTGGCTCCAAAGTAAGTTTGTTCGTGGTGGCTCCAAAGTAAGTTTGTTCGTGGTGGCTCCAAAGTAAGTTTGTTCGTGGTGGCTCCAAAGTAAGTTTGTTCGTGGTGGCTCCAAAGTAAGTTTGTTCGTGGTGGCTCCAAAGTAAGTTTGTTCGTGCTGGCTCCAAAGTAAGTTTGTTCGTGGTGGCTCCAAAGTAAGTTTGGATCAATGTTCGTGGTGGCTCCAAAGTAAGTTTGTTCGTGGTGGCTCCAAAGTAAGTTTGGATCAATGTTCGTGGTGGCTCCAAAGTAAGTTTGGGTCAATGTTCGTGGTGGCTCCAAAGTAAGTTTGTTCGTGGTGGCTCCAAAGTAAGTTTGGATCAATGTTCGTGGTGGCTCCAAAGTAAGTTTGGATCAATGTTCGTGGTGGCTCCAAAGTAAGTTTGGATCAATGTTCGTGGTGGCTCCAAAGTAAGTTTGTTCGTGGTGGCTCCAAAGTAAGTTTGTTCGTGGTGGCTCCAAAGTAATTTTGTTCGTGGTGGCTCCAAAGTAAGTTTGTTCGTGGTGGCTCCAAAGTAAGTTTGTTCGTGGTGGCTCCAAAGTAAGTTTGTTCGTGGTGGCTCCAAAGTAAGTTTGTTCGTGGTGGCTCCAAAGTAAGTTTGTTCGTGGTGGCTCCAAAGTAAGTTTGGATCAATGTTCGTGGTGGCTCCAAAGTAAGTTTGTTCGTGGTGGCTCCAAAGTAAGTTTGGATCAATGTTCGTGGTGGCTCCAAAGTAAGTTTGGGTCAATGTTCGTGGTGGCTCCAAAGTAAGTTTGTTCGTGGTGGCTCCAAAGTAAGTTTGGATCAATGTTCGTGGTGGCTCCAAAGTAAGTTTGGATCAATGTTCGTGGTGGCTCCAAAGTAAGTTTGGATCAATGTTCGTGGTGGCTCCAAAGTAAGTTTGTTCGTGGTGGCTCCAAAGTAAGTTTGGATCAATGTTCGTGGTGGCTCCAAAGTAAGTTTGTTCGTGGTGGCTCCAAAGTAAGTTTGTTCGTGGTGGCTCCAAAGTAAGTTTGGATCAATGTTCGTGGTGGCTCCAAAGTAAGTTTGTTCGTGGTGGCTCCAAAGTAAGTTTGTTCGTGGTGGCTCCAAAGTAAGTTTGGATCAATGTTCGTGGTGGCTCCAAAGTAAGTTTGGGTCAATGTTCGTGGTGGCTCCAAAGTAAGTTTGTTCGTGGTGGCTCCAAAGTAAGTTTGGATCAATGTTCGTGGTGGCTCCAAAGTAAGTTTGGATCAATGTTCGTGGTGGCTCCAAAGTAAGTTTGGATCAACGCTGTAGGTTGACGGTCACATGATCAACGCTGTAAGTTGACGGTCACATGATCAATGCTGTAAGTTGACGGTCACATGATCAATGCTGTAAGTTGACGGTCACATGATCAACGCTGTAAGTTGACGGTCACATGATCAATGCTGTAAGTTGACGGTCACATGATCAATGCTGTAAGTTGACGGTCACATGATCAATGCTGTAAGTTGACGGTCACATGATCAATGCTGTAAGTTGACGGTCACATGATCAACGCTGTAAGTTGACGGTAACATGATCAATGCTGTAAGTTGACGGTCACATGATCAACGCTGTAAGTTGACGGTCACATGATCAATGCTGTAAGTTGACGGTCACATGATCAACGCTGTAAGTAGAGCTCAGCTGTTGCTCTGACCTCGAGATATGAATGGATTGTGTGCTCATCATTTTATGCCTGGCCAGACTTAAGGACGTCCTACAGACTCAGGTTGGAACTCTTGGCCTCAGTCTGTAGTAGTCTGCGCTCTATCACCCAACCACGCCGCTCTGCAGTTGCTTGCTCATTTTTTTATTCAAATGTGTTGTTTGGTATTCAAATGTGTTGTGTTTGTTATTCAAATGTGTTGTGTTTGGTATTCAAATGTTTTGTGCTGTGCTTGCTAATGTTTGTATTCAGGAGCAAACTCGACTGTCTTACAAACATTAGGAACAAACTCGACAGTCTTACAAACATTAGGAACAAACTCGACAGTCTTACAAACATTAGGAACAAACTCGACAGTCTTACAAACATTAGGAACAAAGTCGACCGTGAAGCTTTTGTCCATCGGTCCTTGTTTTATACGCTATCGTTGACACTAGATTTTTTATCCAGGTGGTTTTTTGTGTGTTGAGTTTTTGTGGATTTGTTGCTCGTTCACACGAGTCTAATATTTTAACCCACTACCCCATTATAGCCCCACCCCACCCACAGCCCCACCCACAGCCCCACCCACAGCCCCACCCCACCCACAGCCCCACCCCACACACAGCCCCACCCCACACACAGCCCCACCCCACCCACAGCCCCACCCCACCCACAGCCCCACCCCACACACAGCCCCACCCCACCCACAGCCCCACCCCACCCACAGCCCCACCCCACACACAGCCCCACCCCAAACACAGCCCCACCCCACACACAGCCCCACCCCACCCCACAGACAGCCCCACCCCACCCTCAGCCCCAGCCCCACCTCCTACTGTGTATTCTCGATGTGTTGCAGCCAAGAGCTCAGATACCTGCTGGTGTTGTCCCTGGAACAGACGGAGCTAAGGGTGGAGCTGTTGACAGACCAAGCCTCACCCCAAGGGCAAAATACCCTCACGCTAAGTCGGTAACACCACTAGTGACGTCACTTCTCAATGGCATTTTAAAATTATTCAAACTTTTACCATTTTAAGCTTTTTCAATGGAATACACGGCATAGGACTAAAGACACTTTAGGGATGTGCTACTCTTGCAAGACACTTTAGGGATGTGCTACTCTTGCAAGACACTTTAGGGCTGTGCTACTCTTGCAATACACTGATCGCTCTGTGTCAGATCGCCATCAACTGTTTCGACGATGTATCTAAACAAAGAAATGCTTGTCATTTGTTTGTCATTTGTTTGTCATTTGTTTGTCATGTGCTTGGCTTGGCGCATTTGTTCCAGTCCAGGAGTTGTAAGTCGCTTGTCCAGCGATCATTGATGTTCTCTATCATCATTGATGTTCTCTATCATCATTGATGTTCTCTATCATCATCGATGTTCCCTATCATCATTGATGTTCTCTATCATCATTGATGTTCATGTTCTCTATCATCATCGATGTTCTCTATCATCATCGATGTTCTCTATCATCATTGATGTTCATGTTCTCTATCATCATCGATGTTCTCTATCATCATCGATGTTCTCTATCTTCATCGATGTTCTCTATCATCATTGATGTTCTCTATCATCATCGATGTTCTCTATCATCATTGATGTTCTCTATCATCATTGATGTTCCCTATCATCATCGATGTTCTCTATCATCATTGATGTTCTCTATCATCATCGATGTTCTCTATCATCATTGATGTTCATGTTCTCTATCATCATCGATGTTCTCTATCATCATCGATGTTCTCTATCATCATTGATGTTCATGTTCTCTATCATCATCGATGTTCTCTATCATCATCGATGTTCTCTATCTTCATCGATGTTCTCTATCATCATTGATGTTCTCTATCATCATCGATGTTCTCTATCATCATTGATGTTCTCTATCATCATTGATGTTCCCTATCATCATCGATGTTCTCTATCATCATTGATGTTCTCTATCATCATCGATGTTCTCTATCATCATTGATGTTCACTATCATCATTGATGTTCTCGATCATCATCGATGTTCTCTATCATCATTGATGTTCATCAAACCAACACCCGACTAAAATTATTTGAATTTAAACCATATCAGTAACCTGACAATTGTATGCCCAACTTAGATTTTTAAAAATGAGATATTCTTACGTTGTCATCTGAGATGAATTAACCAGGAAACTAACACTGGTGTTTTCATTTCTTGCAGTCTGGAACCCACGCTCATAAAAGTAGAGAGCCAGTTCGCTTCCACGGACGTCAAGGGTGAGCCTGTTGTCTGCTGTTGCTAGGCAACCAAAGCAAAAGCGTCCGTTGCCAAAGACAGGCGGGTGGGTGGGGGTGTCAACCGACAACTCGACATATAGCAAACAGAACTTGACCGACAACTCAACATATTTATAGCAAACACAACTTGTAGGACCGACAACTCAACATATAGCAAACAGAACTTGTAGGACCGACAACTCAACATATAGCAAACATAATTTGTAGGACCGACAACTCAACATATAGCAAACAGAACTTGTAGGACCGACAACTCAATATATAGCAAACAGAACTTGTAGGACCGACAACTCAACATATAGCAAACATAATTTGTAGGACCGACAACTCAACATATAGCAAACAGAACTTGTAGGACCGACAACTCAACATATAGCAAACATAATTTGTAGGACCGACAACTCAACATATAGCAAACACAACTTGTAGGACCGACATCTCAACATATAGCAAACAGAACTTGTAGGACCGACAACTCAACATATAGCAAACAGAACTTGTAGGACCGACAACTCAACATAATTATAGCAAACACAACTTGTAGGACCGACAACTCAACATATAGCAAACACAATTTGTAGGACCGACAACTCAACATATAGCAAACACAACTTGACCGACAACTCAACATATAGCAAACAGAACTTGTAGGACCGACAACTCAACATATAGCAAACAGAACTTGTAGGACCGACAACTCAACATATAGCAAACAGAACTTGTAGGACCGACAACTCAACATATAGCAAACAGAACTTGTAGGACCGACAACTCAACATATAGCAAACAGAACTTGTAGGACCGACAACTCAACATATAGCAAACACAACTTGTAGGACCGACAACTCAACATATAGCAAACAGAACTTGACCGACAACTCAACATATAGCAAACACAACTTGTAGGACCGACAACTCAACATAATTATAGCAAACAGAACTTGTAGGACCGACAACTCGACATATAGCAAACAGAACTTGTAGGACCGACAACTCAACATAATTATAGCAAACAGAACTTGTAGGACCGACAACTCAACATATAGCAAACAGAACTTGTAGGACCGACAACTCAACATATAGCAAACAGAACTTGTAGGACCGACAACTCAACATATAGCAAACACAACATGTAGGACCGACAACTCAACATATAGCTAACACAACTTGTAGGACCGACAACTCAACATATAGCTAACACAACTTGTAGGACCGACAACTCAACATATAGCAAACAGAACTTGACCGACAACTCAACATATAGCAAACAGAACTTGTAGGACCGACAACTCAACATATAGCAAACACAATTTGTAGGACCGACAACTCAACATATAGCAAACAGAACTTGACCGACAACTCAACATATAGCAAACACAACTTGTAGGACCGACAACTCAACATATAGCAAACAGAACTTGTAGGACCGACAACTCAACATATAGCAAACAGAACTTGTAGGACCGACAACTCAACATATAGCAAACAGAACTTGTAGGACCGACAACTCAACATATAGCAAACATAATTTGTAGGACCGACAACTCAACATATAGCTAACACAACTTGTAGGACCGACAACTCAACATATAGCAAACAGAACTTGACCGACAACTCAACATATAGCAAACAGAACTTGTAGGACCGACAACTCAACATATAGCAAACACAATTTGTAGGACCGACAACTCAACATATAGCAAACAGAACTTGACCGACAACTCAACATATAGCTAACACAACTTGTAGGACCGACAACTCAACATATAGCAAACACACCATGTAGGACCGACAACTCAACATACAGCAAACTCAACATGTAGGACCGACAACTCGACATATAACAAACACAACATGTAGGACCGACAACTCTTCTGACAGGGGTGCTGATCAAGGCCGGCAATCCGATTGGCGTCATCACCCGTGTCTGTGAGGCCAGTTCCTGCTATATAACAGGTGGGCTTGTTATATAACATGTGGGCTTAGGACTTACTATATAACAGGTGGGCTTGGGGCTTTTTATATAACAGGTGGGCTTTGGGTTTGTTATGTGACTGATGGGCTTGTTATATAACAGGTTGGCTTGGGGCTTGCATATCTGCCTGATGCAATAGGCTTTATTTACGTGGTATTCAATAAATTTTAATGAAGATTTTAACCCGAAAGTGTTCATCTGTTTGTCCTAAGACTTTAGGTTCCCATTTGTTCATCTGTTTGTCCTAATACTTTAGGTTCCCATTTGTTCATCTGTTTAGGTTCCCATTTGTTCATCTGTTTGTCCTAAGACTTTAGGTTCCCATTTGTTCATCTGTTTAGGTTCCCATTTGTTCATCTGTTTGTCCTAAGCTTTAGGTTCCCATTTGTTCATCTGTTTGTCCTAATACTTTAGGTTCCCATTTGTTCATCTGTTTTTCCTAATACTTTAGGTTCCCATTTGTTCATCTGTTTAGGTTCCCATTTGTTCATCTGTTTGTCCTAAGACTTTAGGTTCCCATTTGTTCATCTGTTTAGGTTCCCATTTGTTCATCTGTTTGTCCTAAGACTTTAGGTTCCCATTTGTTCATCTGTTTGTCCTAATACTTTAGGTTCCCATTTGTTCATCTGTTTAGGTTCCCATTTGTTCATCTGTTTGTCCTAAGACTTTAAGTTCCCATTTATATCCCCGTCTATTTCAGACATGGCCCTCCCCACAAAGTATTTTGGCAATGGGTATCACGTGATCAATCCGATCCAATCGCTGCGCTGTATCGCCGCGACGCCTGGGATCTCGGTCCGTTTTTCTGTCAACGGTTATCTCCAAACCGACGGTTACGTCATTGATGTTAGTGTCTTCATTGTGGCGCCACATCATCACCATTATACTGCTACATCATCATCATATTGTCACATCATCTTCATACTGTCAAAATCTACATCGTTCTGTGATCATCATCTTTGTTAATGTTATCCCATCAGAAAAAAAACATCTTTTGTTTTACAAATCAAGCATATCATTCAAATGGTTATGTCTGGGTTTTTTTTTTCAATGTCATCCTCTCTAAAAGCCCTATAAATCGTTATATTTATGCCCAATGTGCCCTATACAAAAGCCCCATTGAATTGTTCTCGCCCGCAGATGCCCCCTACAAAAGGGCCATACCTCGCCTCGTTTAGCGTCTCTGTGGGCTGTCTGGGTAAAACTCAACAAGGGAACTTCTCGGTCTACACGGCAGCCATTGCTAGAGAGTTGTATTCGGATGTTGTCATTTTGGCGTACGTTTCTCAACATAACATATAAACCATAAGTTCCAGTGTCTCGCCTTAGAGTGTTTTAACTTAGTGTGTCTTAACTTAGAGTGTCTCAACTTAGAGTGTCTCAACTTAGAGTGTCTCAACTTAGAGTGTCTCAACTTAGAGTGTCTCACCTATTAAACACCTGCTAATCTATGTAACCCCCCCCCCCCCCCACTGCTACTGCCAGCATCGCGACCCTGGCGATGGATAAGTTTCTCCACATCATCTACCAAACGTCTGAGAACGACAACATCTTGGTCAACGGCCAGCCGTTAAGCCAACTCGCGTAAGTCTAGCCGCGTGTTCATTCAAATCTTAATTAGGCTGGCTAATCAGTAGATAGTCTAGCCGCGTGTTCATTCAAATCTTAATTAGGCTGGCTAATCAGTAGATAGTCTAGCCTCGTGTTCATTCAAATCTTAATTAGGCTGGCTAATCAGTAGATAGTCCAGCCTCGTGTCTTCATTCAAATCTTAATTAGGCTGGCTAATCAGTAGATAGTCTAGCCGCGTGTTCATTCAAATCTTAATTAGGCTGGCTAATCAGTAGATAGTCTAGCCGCGTGTTCATTCAAATCTTAATTAGGCTGGCTAATCAGTAGATAGTCTAGCCTCGTGTTCATTCAAATCTTAATTAGGCTGGCTAATCAGTAGATAGTCCAGCCTCGTGTCTTCATTCAAATCTTAATTAGGCTGGCTAATCAGTAGATAGTCTAGCCGCGTGTTCATTCAAATCTTAATTAGGCTGGCTAATCAGTAGATAGTCTAACCTCGTGTCTTCATTCAAATCTTAATTAGGCTGGCTAATCAGTAGATAGTCCAGTCTCGTGTCTTCATTCAAATCTTAATATCTCACGTGTCTCACGTGTCTCTCTACCCACCAGGCCCCAGGTGGAGGAAATAGGGGGAGCCAGCGACTACTCAGTGGCCAAGGTCAAGCTGGACTCACCCAAGGCCTACGTCACCTCCAGCAACCGGCAGAGCCAACTCGGCGTCTACGGCTCTGGGCCGGCCCAACTTGACGACACCCAGTCGGTCTACATAGTCCCCGCCAAGTTTCAATTTATAGAGGTCAGAGGTCAAGGTTCTTTTCTAAACATTCCATGACAATCACTGACCACAACATCACTGACCACAACATCACTGACCACAACATCACTGACCACAACATCACTGACCACAACATCACTGACTACAACATCACTGACCACAACATCACTGACCACAACATCACTGACCACAACATCACTGACCACAACATCACTGACCACAACATCACTGACCACAACATCACTGACCACAACATCACTGACTACAACATCACTGACCACAACATCACTGACCACAACATCACTGACCACAACATCACTGACCACAACATCACTGACCACAACATCACTGATTACAACATCACTGACAACAACATCACTGACAACAACATCACTGACAACAACATCACTGACAACAACATCACTGACAACAACATCACTGACCACAACATCACTGACCACAACATCATTGACCACATCATCACTGACTACAACATCACTGACCACAACATCACTGACCACAACATCACTGACCACAACATCACTGACCACAACATCACCGACCACAACATCACTGACCACAACATTACTGACCACAACATCACTGACCACAACATCACTGACCACAACATTACTGACCACAACATTACTGGCCACAACATCACTGACCACAACATCACTGACCACAACATCACTGACCATGTAATTCTACTTATTCCCAGGTGATGTCAAGCTTAGTAACCACCCAAGCTCCAATCAAGTTAGCTCCGACATCCCAGTGCAGCTCACAGTCCATAGGTCGGTCTTTTCTTAGCTCACAGTCCATAGGTCGGTCTTTTCTTAGCTCACAGTCCTAAGGTCTGTTGTTTCTTAGCTCACAGTCCTAAGGTCTGTTGTTTCTTAGCTCACAGTCCATAGGTCGGTCTGTTGTTTCTTAGCTCACAGTCCATAGGTCGGTCTTTTCTTAGCTCACAGTCCTAAGGTCTGTTGTTTCTTAGCTCACAGTCCTAAGGTCTGTTTTGTCTTAGCTCACAGTCCAAATGTCGGGTGAGGCCTAAGATTTTAAACTTTGTTATTGTTCAAAATGACTCAAACAATTAAAAAATTATTTACCTTTATTTTGATACCCATTTTAATCATCAAAATTAATCGGCAGTCTAGAAAATGATTTGTGAAAAAAATGCGTTTGTTTTTTAATGGCTACGATGATATGACTGATAGTTGTTGTGACGCGATTGACCTATCACTGCCGTTGAGCAGAAATGTGTCGTCTGCTAGATTTATTCCCATTCAAATACACGGCGGGTGAAATAGGCTGGCTTAAAAAGCTTAGTGGGGTCGGCGTGGTCGAGTCGGTAAAGTTAAACCGAAAAGTTTTGAGTTCGAACCCCCGGGCAGATGAGGCTCGTTAGCTGGGGACAGCCACTCTTCTAGGAGAGACAACTCCAAAATGAAACAACTGCTGCCTTGTAGTTTGTTTTTGGTTGGACAAAGGCTATGGAAGCAAATCCAAAAAGAAAACCAGTTGACACGTATCCTTAATTGTGATGGAGGCGTGGTCGAGTCGGCAAAAAGCTCATGGTTGATAATTTCGAAAAAGAAGTCTCGAGTTCAAACCCTCTGGCAGATAAGGCTCGATCCCTTCCAACACTAAAAATTAAGAACGAAGAAGAAGAAGAAAAAGCTTAGTTAGCTGTTGTCTCGATAAAGTTATTTTTAGAAGGTTTTTGTTTTACCCTGCGCAATTTTTTTAATTAATAAAATATGGACGTTATATATAATTTTCACTAGTTTAGACAATTTTTAAAATTATTTTTACAAGATTAAATACAGCAATTCGCGTTTTGTTTACTTGTATTATGTTCTGCTCGATATTCTCAGCGATTAGACCCCCAAAAAAATGTACAAATCTCGAAACACGTATCGTCTATTGTTAAAACTAGATCAGTATCGCAAAAATAACGATTATAAGTATATATTTATGGAATGACCATGAAACATTGTTTAAACACGGTAGCCATCATTACCATGACGACGGTAAAAAAAGTAGGTCAAGTGACAGAATATTGTTATTAAAAACGTTTTTATCAACTTTATTTTTACTCTCCCGTATAAGAAGTATAGAGGAAGTATTGTACTCTACTCCCTCCCCCCCCCTCCCCCAGTCTGTATGCCCGGCATGTACGGAGAGACGTGTGAGCAGCTATGTCAGTGTCAACAGGGCATGACGTGCAGGCACTCTAGCGCGTGCTACACTCACAGCTGTGATCTGGGCTACTATGGGCTCTCATGTGAGATCAGTAAGTCTCGTCTGTCTAGTGGGGGGGGGGGGGTAAGTCTTGTCTGTCTAGTGGGGGGGGGGGGGTAAGTCTTGTCTGTCTAGTGGGGGGGGGGGTAAGTCTTGTCTGTCTAGTGGGGGGGTAAGTCTTGTCTGTCTAGTGGGGGGGGGGGGGGGGTAAGTCTCGTCTGTCTAGTGGGGGGAGGGGGTAAGTCTTGTCTGTCTAGTGGGGGGGTAAGTCTTGTCTGTCTAGTGGGGGGGGGGGGGGTAAGTCTTGTCTGTCTAGTGGGGGGGGGTAAGTCTTGTCTGTCTAGTGGGGGGGGGGGGGTAAGTCTTGTCTGTCTAGTGGGGGGGGTAAGTCTTGTCTGTCTAGTGGGGGGGGTAAGTCTTGTCTGTCTAGTGGGGGGGGGGGGGGGTAAGTCTTGTCTGTCTAGTGGGGGGGTAAGTCTTGTCTGTCTAGTGGGGGGGGGGGTAAGTCTTGTCTGTCTAGTGGGGGGGGTAAGTCTTGTCTGTCTAGTGGGGGGGGGGTAAGTCTTGTCTGTCTAGTGGGGGGGGGGTAAGTCTTGTCTGTCTAGTGGGGGGTAAGTCTTGTCTGTCTAGTGGGGGGGGGGGGGGTAAGTCTTGTCTGTCTAGTGGGGGGGGGGTAAGTCTTGTCTGTCTAGTGGGGGGTAAGTCTTGTCTGTCTAGTGGGGGGGTAAGTCTTGTCTGTCTAGTGGGGGGGTGTCTTGTCTGTCTAGTGGGGGGGGGGGGTAAGTCTTGTCTGTCTGGTGGGGGGGGGGGGGTAAGTCTTGTCTGTCTAGTGGGGGGGGGGGGGGTAAGTCTTGTCTGTCTAGTGGGGGGGGGTAAGTCTTGTCTGACTAGTGGGGGGGGTAAGTCTTGTCTGTCTAGTGGGGGGGGGTAAGTCTTGTCTGACTAGTGGGGGGGTAAGTCTTGTCTGTCTAGTGGGGGGGGGTAAGTTTTGTCTGACTAGTGGGGGGGGGGTAAGTTTTGTCTGACTAGTGGGGGGGGGGGTAAGTCTTGTCTGTCTAGTGGGGGGGGGGGTAAGTTTTGTCTGACTAGTGGGGGGGGGTAAGTTTTGTCTGACAAGTGGGGGGGGGAGTCTTGTCTGTCTAGTGGGGGGTAAGTCTTGTCTGTCTAGTGGGGGGGGGGAGTCTTGTCTGTCTAGTGGGGGGGGGGGGGTAAGTATTGTCTGACAAGCGGGGGGGGGGGGGGTAAGTATTGTCTGACAAGTGGGGGGGGGGAGTCTTGTCTGTCTAGTGGGGGGGGTAAGTATTGTCTGTCTAGTGGGGGGGGTAAGTATTGTCTGTCTAGTGGGGGGGGGGGGGTAAGTCTTGTCTGTTTAGTGGGGGGGGAGTCTTGTCTGTCTAGTGGGGAGGTGGTAAGTCTAGTCTGTTTGGTAGGGGGGAGGGGGTAAGTCGTCTGTCTAGTGGGGGGGTCCCCTTATTCCAGGTGACCTTGTCATGTTACTGACATCTATTCCAGGTGACCTTGTCCTATTACTGACATTTATTCCAGGTGACCTTGCCCTATTACTGACGTCTATTCCATGTGACCTTGCCATATTACTGACATCTATTCCAGGTGACCTTGCCCTATTACTGCTGGGGTGTGAGCCTGCAGTCTTCTACGACAACAACAGGGAGACCTGCGCGCCCATGGGAGAACAGCCAATCAAATTTCTCTTCAGGGGCACCATCACCTTGACCGCGATTAGGATGACCTTCAACCAAGAGGGTCAGGTTTTAAAAAGTCAAATTTTTGGGAACATTTGTAGCAATGTGTTGATTACACCAGCCTCGTTTTTGTACCGTCATATCTTTTGTATCAGTAAACAGTAACAGGCTATTCTCACGGTGACTAGCCATAAAGTAGATTTATGCTGGCTCTACTTGCCATAAAGTATATTTATGCTGTATCTACTTGCCATAAAGTAGATTTATGTTGACTCTACTTGCCATAAAGTAGATTTATGCTGTCTCTACTTGCCATAAAGTAGATTTATGCTGTCTCTACTTGCCATAAAGTAGATTTATGCTGACTCTGCTTGCCATAAAGTAGATTTATGTTGACTCTACTTGCCATAAAGTAGATTTATGTTGACTCTACTTGCCATACAGTAGATTTATGCTGTCTCTGCTTGCAGTACACGGCGATGCGCTGAGTCCCATGGTCAACACGGGCCAAGAGCAGCAGGAAGGGTGCACCAACCTCGTGGTGACGATGAACAAGGAGGAAGTCGACATCACCTGTCAAAGTCCTCTGGTGACTGAAGGCTTTGAGCTGACTCTCCACCTCAACCCCGACCTCACCATCTGCTCCATCAACATCAACGGAGGTGGGGCGGGCTCGTTGTGTGTGTGTGGGGGGGGGTCGTTGTGTTTGGGTACACCTTTCTGGGGGGGGGGGGTCGTTTTCAGAACGTGAGGGGATCGTTGTGGGGTAGGAGCTGGGGCTGCTCCATCAACATCCGTGGCGGTGTCGTTGAGGGGAACCTCACCCGGGGCGATACCCCCGCCTCCCCGGAGCACGAATAGTTCTTGTAGTGATGGCGGGAAAGGATGTAAACAGTTTGTTAAACCTTTTAGAAATGTCAACAATTAGTCATAATTTAACCCTTAAAAACTCAAGAATTGGCAAGATTTTCCCCTGTAATGAAGAAGCAACCCCCCCCCCCCAGGTACCGCCATAAAGACAGCACGTGTTGTGGTTGGTCAAGACGCGGCCTCAGCCCAGCCCAGTCACCTGTTACAGGAGAGGGTCGACCCCAACAATTGTGTCAGTGTCGATACCAACGTCGTCTTCATCACAGTCGATTACACGAGCATGGAACGTCTTGTCTTCTATACAAAAGGTAGTATCGATTCCATTCAAGTACTTGATTCAATCTATCGCGAAAGGGAACCTCACGACGTAAAGACTATTTTTATTTTAAACACACACAGCTATATCGACACATTTATATAAGATACTGACTCAGCTATATCGACACATTTATATAAGATACTGACTCAGCTATATCGACACATTTATGTAAGATACTGACTCAGCTATATCGACACATTTATATAAGATACTGATCTAAGACAGCTATATACTGACTCAGCTATATCGACACATTTATGTAAGATACTGACTCAGCTATATCGACACATTTATGTAAGATACTGACTCAGCTTTATCGACACATTTATGTAAGATACTGACTCAGCTTTATCGACACATTTATATAAGAAGATACTGACTCAGCTATATCGACACATTTATATAAGATACTGACACAGCTATATCGACACATTTATATAAGAAGATACTGACTCAGCTATATCGACACATTTATATAAGATACTGACTCAGCTATATAGGCACGGTTATATAAAGACAGCTACTGACTCAGCTATATAGACAGTTAAACAAAGACAGCTACTGACTCAGCTATATAGACAGTTAAACAAAGACAGCTACTGACTCAGCTATATAGACAGTTAAACAAAGACAGCTACTGACTCAGCTATATAGACAGTTAAACAAAGACGGCTACTGACTCAGCTATATAGACAGTTAAACAAAGACGGCTACTGACTCAGCTATATAGACAGTTAAACAAAGACAGCTACTGACTCAGCTATATAGACAGTTAAACAAAGACAGCTACTGACTCAGCTATATAGACAGTTAAACAAAGACAGCTACTGACTCGGCTATATAGACAGTTAAACAAAGACAGCTACTGACTCAGCTATATAGACAGTTAAACAAAGACAGCTACTGACTCAGCTATATAGACAGTTAAACAAAGACAGCTACTGACTCAGCTATATAGACAGTTAAACAAAGACAGCTACTGACTCAGCTATATAGACAGTTAAACAAAGACAGCTACTGACTCAGCTATATAGACAGTTAAACAAAGACAGCTACTGACTCAGCTATATAGACAGTTAAACAAAGACAGCTACAAAATCATGTGGAAGCTTGGAGTGGAACCAATGTGACGTCACGTCTCAGGTTCCAACAAGTCGAGTCTGGCAGTGAAGGGGGTCGTGAAGCAGACGCAGCAAATCTTCGAGGAGGTTCTGGAGCTGGGGGACCAGGTGACCAACCTACCCTTCCTGGCGCACGTCTCAGACATCTCCGTCAGCAAGTCCGTGGGCAGGGTCGAAATCTGTAACATCAAACTCTATGGAGGTCAGGGCTGAGTGGGGCGGGTGGTGTGTGTGTTGGCCGTATATGGAGCGTGTAGTGTGTGTGTGTGAAGCATGGGGTGGGGGGGAGTTGTCAACTTGGCGATGCGAGGTTTCTTTTGTTGACATCAGTATGTCGTCATCTTTTTAAATCCCATATCCTAATCCTATGCTAACCCTAACTCCTACCACACCAAACTAACCAGACGACGTTGCCTCTACCGTCCCCAGCCAAGGTGGATGAACCGACCCTGTCAACCGCCCCGACCCCTGGAGATGTGACCACGGGAGGGTCAGCCAGCAGCACCACCCAGGTCAACTCGTACAAGGACATCTACGAATCGGCCATGGAGAAACTGACGCCAAAAATAGCGGCCGGCGTCTCCGTAGTTTTCGCCATCATCATGCTCGTCGCGTGTTGCTGTGTGTGCAAGTTCTGCATGTAGCAGCTTACACCAGTCACAGCTTACACTACTTACAGCTTACACCAGTCACAGCTTACACTACTTACAGCTTACACCAGTCACAGCTTACACTACTTACAGCTTACACCAGTCACAGCTTACACTACTTACAGCTTACACCAGTCACAGCTTACACTACTTACAGCTTACACCAGTCACAGCTTACATCATTCACAGCTTACACACACAGCATACACCATTCACAGCTTACACACACAGCATACACCATTCACAGCTTACACACACAGCATACGCCATTCCCAGCTTACACCATTCACAGATTACATCACACAGCTTACACCATTCAAAGCTTAACCATTCACAGCTTACATACACCTGTGGTAGCATTGTGATTAACATCAATGTCAAGGATGTGGTGGAGGGTAGCGGAGCCCAGTATTTTTAGATTTCACAATAGTCGGATGTGTTCGAGTTTGTAAGCACGTCACCATCAACTTATAAAGCTGTCGGTGTGATGTAACTAGTGATCACTTCCAGCATATAAAGCTGTCACCAGCAGCATATAAAGCTGTCGGTGTGATGTAACTAGTCATCACCAGCAGCATATAAAGCTGTCGGTGTGATGTAACTAGTCATCATGAGAGAGAGCTGTACAATGTTATAAAACCAATTGAATGACAGGGGGGAAAATGTGTTATCGTCAAGTCCATTGCTGTCAAAGTTATTGCGATAAAGCTAACGTCGTTGGCAGAACATATCCAAAGACGTTGGTTAATTAATTACCGCCAGACATAGAAAATGTTTGCGCTTACATCAGTGGTATTAAATCGAATGCCAACAATGTTAACTTTACAATGTTTATTCTTATTAACGAATTTGTCAAACAATCGTTACATAATATATTGTTAGCAAATTGCCTTCAGGTGCTTTGATTTGTTACAGATGTAGTCAATGTTGATATTTAACAGAGAATAAAAGCACATCTATGATAACTAGTCTTGGTCTTATTGCACTCGCAGGTGGAGGGAGGGCATACTGAATGAAAAAAAAATGAGATTATTGGCAACTGTTGGTGTCGCTTTCAGCCTAGTTTAAAAATATTTCATGTCATAACACCAAAATATAAGGTTCTTAATATCCTTATTGAATACACACAAAGGCAGATATATAGGTCTAGATCTTTATATAGTAGACCTCTAGGCTTAAGTGTATAGAACACACACATAGACACATATATAGGTCCATAATATATAGACGCTAGTTGATAAGTTTTAGTCGTACATACACTAAATTATTGACGGAGCATACAAATTTTACAGCTTTTAAATAGATGCTCGATATATTACAGGCGATATATTTAAGTCATTTTTTTCCGGTTGTGTGAGGGGGGAGGATGCGGCATTGAAACTTTCGGGAGCAGATACTGATTAAAGTATATATATTCTATAAATAATATAAATTGTTTATATTATGTCGGCAGGGGGTGGACACATGCTCTGGGGGCAGTGTCGCCTTCTCTAGGACCTATGCCTGAAAGAAACAGAAAAAGAAGCTTTAAGATATGTAACTCAAATGTTTAAAGATTGGTTTTTTTTTTACATTTGCATGTGGAGAAATTATTGGGATGGCATGGTCGAATGGTAGAGCGTTTGGCTGCTAGTCTGAAGGGTAAGCTCGGATGTCTTGTGACTGTAGGTCGTCGCTGAGGCAACCTTGCTCTGACGGGTACCTGATTAACGTTAGGAAAAGTATAGGAGGCTGAGTATAGTGTTGACCACACAATCCCTTCGTATATCGAGGTAAAAAAACCTAACTCTACTTCATCTTCCCATTGGATCTCTAGGTCTAAAGAAGAATATTTACTTACTTTTTGTGAATAAATTAAAATTATTCAAAATTTGTACTAGGTGTTACAGGTTTGTAAACAAAACCAATCCAAGGAAATCGTACGCCTTATTTAGTATTTAGTTATTTTAGAGCATGCTTTTGTTTTATAAGTTTTCGGTATTTAGAGTTTACTTTGCGTTTCAACCGGAAACGGAAAAATTATTGTTGTTGAGGATCCAAGGCACCGGTTCCTCCACGTCATAATCTAGACTCGAGTGTATTTGTTTTTCTAAATCAATTTGTAAACATATTCTCTGAAATTTTTATTTATATCTAGCGTAACTACTTAATTTAACTCTTTTAAAATGGATCACTGCAGCATTGTTTACATACTGCTGTTTTGTCTCATTAAATTATCTGTGTGTGGTGAATTGACTTTTGAGCTTCCTGATAATGAAAAAATGTGTTTCTACGAAAGTGTTGAGCAGGGAGAGCAAGCTACTTTAGAATTTCAGGTAAAACTAGATATAATTTTATTTAGATCTAGTCTAGATTTCTAGACACTTTGTCGGTTTTAGTTTTTGGCTCATAAAAACTTTAATTTTACACCAGCCAGATGAAGTGACCTAGGGTTGGACTTAGGGGCAAAACTTGAACCAATCAAAGCTTAGCTAAAAGGTTACACTATAGGCCTAAATAGCTTATATATATATGTATGGAACATCGTAAATGTCAAGGTTAATGGGTTTTTTTTGTACTTGAATAATAAAAAAGGGGTGTTGGCTAACTTTTTTGGCCTTACATGGGAGCGGACAGCAACACAAAAATATTATTAAATAAGAATTTAGAGCATAAAAGGGGCTGGTTATTGAAGGGAAAGGGTCAAAATAATGTCAAGAAGGCAGTGGAAGGCGAAAGAGTGGGGGAAATGATGTGACCTGGCTGGCTTAGCAGCGAACTGCTTGAGCCGCAGTAGCTGAATGGGATGAACTTTGGGAGTGTCGTAAAAAGGTTTTATACTATTAAAATTACCTCACAAACAATCAATAACACAATATAAATTCATATAATATAGGCCTATGTTTTTATTCATTAAATTGACTATAAATTATTCTAAATGATCAAAACATGCTATGTTCAATGACAGGTAAAGGTGTCCGAACACATGTAAAAAAAATGTTCGCGCACATGTAAGGACCCCTAAGTCACTAAAACAAGAATAGCTAAAGTTCTATGCGTGAAAACTGGGAATTTTGATGAATAACTGGGAAATATCTTTAAAAAACGGGAAATCTTGCTTCCAGAGTTTTTTTTTCCTTTCGGGTTTCGCGAGATTTGAACCGGGTATAGGCCTATCCAATCGCCAGTCTCACCGGTTCTCGTGGTGCCTCTTTACCATTGATCTGTTTTCCGCCCATCATGCAAGCGTACATGGTACATCTACTGCTATGCTAGCTTAGGGTTACCCACCATTGGCGTGACCTTATTTTTTTTTGGCTTATTTGAACTCGCAGTGTAGTCTAGAGATGGACCTAAATAAACTTTATTGAAGGACTAGGATCGCGCGCGAGTAAAGTCTTGTTTAATATTATCACCTATGTTAATGATAACCGTTCTAGCAGACTATTTCACGGACCAGCGCTACTGAATTTGTGAGAAACACAGATTTTAAAAAAAAAAATTTGCAAAAGTCAGCATTTTTTGCATTTGTGAAGAAAAAAAATTAAAGGTTACTTACGTCACCAACAATGTTAAATGCGTATGGGTCAACTACAATTATTTCATGGGGAGGGGAGATAAAAAAAATTATTAACAACTGGAGTAAATAAGGCTTTCTTGAACACATGTGACCCCAAGTAGGCCCACACGTTCATACAGCATGGTGGTGGGTTTTTTTTTGGGGGGGGGGGGGTAAGTAGTGACATTATCAGCTATCTCAAATAGCAATTTATTCATGTTATAAGGTATGCTATAGGCCTTCCCAATGACCTCTCCACGTTGTCTATTTGGGGGGGGGGGGGGGGGATGCCATACCTTCAATTTTTAATTGCAGTCCAAGGCTGTTTGAAAATCATACATATTGGTGTGTTTACTATTGTCATAAGTATGGGTCTGCTTAGCTTGAAAGGTTTTTTTTTCTCTTCAAAATACGATTTAAATTAAAAAAATAGGCCCTAGATCTAGTTTCAGTTATTCCGGTTGATCTAGTTGTTTATGTAACTAAAATGTTAAAATTACTATTAAGCTCATTTAAGTTTACAAAATTCAGGTACCTCTAAGAAACGACATAAACATGAATGGGTCGTCCATAAATGACGTCACACTTGTAGGGTGGAGGGGGTCTGTAATTTTGTGACGGTGTGTGATGAGGGGGAGGAGGGGGGGTTAGATGGTGTGACGTCATTTTTTTGCATTATTAAATGTTAGAAAACGAGTTTTAGAAAAGGGTTTTAATAAATTGTAATAGGAATTGATCGAAATACTCTATGTTGACAGAGTTCTGACAAGATTTTGGAAAAATATCGATATTTTAAGAAGTTCAAAGCATGGCATGTTAATTATGTACAAATATTGTCATAAAACACAGAAATACCAGATCGATTTTTTTTTTTTTACTACCACTATACGCACTATCCGCCACCCCTATGCCTATACATTATAAAGGCATTAATTTATATTTTTAAAAATTGTTTATTGATTGTGTTAAATTTTAGCTATCTAAATTCATTTCTAAGATATTTAAATATGCTTCTGTGCTGTTTTATTGAAAATTCTTTAAAAATAATCAAGAAATCCACCCATGAAATCAGGTCACTGTACTATTAGTTTTTTCTTCATTAGCTCATAATAGGCTGAACCTGACTTTGGAAAAAAAATTCCGTTATAATGGCTTGCACAGAAAGTTAATATATGCTAAATTGACTTAGTTTACTTGTTTGCTAGCTATTACTGATACTTTTTTCCTAAAAAAATTTTTTTTTTTTTAGATTTTCATCAAAATGTTTACCCATTGCAATGGAAAAACTTGAATAATAAAGGACATGCTATTCCACGTGTTATTTAGTGCCTATTCTGTGTGAATTTTAAAATTGTAATTGACAGTTGAATAGCTATGTGAACTACTAACTAAACTTAAACTGGTCATAATACAGGACATAGCTTTTCTCAGTTGGGCTCTTGGAGTCAATTACTTAGCCTTTTTTTTCAGAGTTATAGGTGATATACCTTCAATAAAAGGATTTTGGCTTCCATTATTTGTTGTGTTCTTGAGTTGAAATATTTACAACCAGGCCTTGAGCTCACTAACCCAAACATCAATACATAGACTTTTTCCTAGCATCCACTGTATTAGTACATTAGATGCCTTGATGTGATATGTCATGATAAATATTAGGGCATGATAGATGTGTGTATATCATGATAAATGTTATGTCATGATAGATGTGTGTATATCATGATAAATGTTACGTCATGTGTGTATATCATGATAGATGTGTGTATATCATGATAGATGTGTGTATATCATGATAGATGAGTGTATATCATGATAGATGTGTGTATATCATGATAAATGTTACGTCATGTGTGTATATCATGATAGATGTGTGTATATCATGATAGATGAGTGTATATCATGATAGATGTGTGTATATCATGATAGATGTGTGTATATCATGATAGATGTGTGTATATCATGATAGATGGTATATCATGATAGATGTGTGTATATCATGATAGATGTGTGTATATCATGATAAATGTTATGTCATGTGTGTATATCATGATAAATGTTATATCATGTGTGTATATCATGATAGATGTGTGTATATCATGATAGATGTGTGTATATCATGATAGATGTGTGTATATCATGATAGATGTGTGTATATCATGATAAATATTATGTCATGATAGATGTGTGTATATCTTGATAGATGTGTGTATATCATGATAGATGTGTGTATATCATGATAGATGTGTGTATATCATGATAGATGTGTGTATATCATGATAGATGTGTGTATATCATGATAGATGTGTGTATATCATGATAGATGTGTGTATATCATGATAGATGTGTGTATATCATGATAGATGTGTGTATATCATGATAGATGTGTGTATATCATGATAGATGTGTGTATATCATGATAGATGTGTGTATATCATGATAGATGTGTGTATATCATGATAAATGTTATATCATGTGTGTATATCATGATCATTTTTTTAGTCAACTAACACTGAGAATTGTTTTAGGTCATTACAGGAGGCAATTATGATGTGGACATGGAATTGACAGCTCCAAATGGGCAGGTCAGTTTTAACCATGGGGTTACATTCAGTCTTTTTTCTGTGTTTGTCTGTTTGTAGAGTGTTTAGTCTTTATCTCATAATTTCCCTGTCCCAGGTTCTGTGCGTATCTTATAATTTCCCTGTTTCTCTATGTTTCTCATAATTTCCCTGTTTCTCTATGTTTCTCATAATTTCCCTGTTTCTCTATGTTTCTCATAATTTCCCTGTTTCTGTATGTAGGCCCTATCTCATAATGTTCCTGTTTCTGTATGTATCTCATAATTTCCCTGTTTCTGTATGTAGGCCCTATCTCATAATGTTCCTGTTTCTGTATGTATCTCATAATTTCCCTGTTTCTCTATGTTTCTCATAATTTCCCTGTTTCTGTATGTATCCCATAATTTCCCTGTTTCTGTATGTATCCCATAATTTCCCTGTTTCTGTATGTATCTCATAATTTCCCTGTTTCTGTATGTATCCCATAATTTCCCTGTTTCTGTATGTATCTCATAATTTCCCTGCCCCAGGTTCTGTATGTATCCCATAATTTCCCTGTCCCAGGTTCTGTATGTAGCTCATAATTTCCCTGTTTCTGTATGTATCTCATAATTTCCCTGTTTCTGTATGTATCCCATAATTTCCCTCTTTCTCTATGTATCTCATAATTTCCCTGTTTCTGTATGTATCTCATAATTTCCCTGTTTCTGTATATATCTCATAATTTCCCTGTTTCTGTATGTATTTCATAATTTCCCTGTTTCTGTATGTATCTCATAATTTCCCTGTTTCTGTATGTATCTCATAATTTCCCTGTTTCTGTATATATCTCATAATTTCCCTGTTTCTGTATGTATCTCATAATTTCCCTGTTTCTCTATGTATCCCATAATTTCCCTGTTTCTCTATGTATCCCATAATTTCCCTGCCCCAGGTTCTGTACAAAGACATCAAAAAGCAGTACGACACCTTCACATGGACGGCCCAGACCAAAGGGATCCACACCTTCTGTTTCTCTAATGAATTCTCCACCTTTACCCACAAGATTGTTTACTTTGACCTGACCGTAGGGGAGGAGAAACCAGCGGTGGAGGAGATGGGTGGTGACCATCAGACGGCCATGACATTGGTAAGTGGTGGGGTGCACCAGACGGCCTTGACATTGGTAAGTCCTGAGGGTGGTGACCATCAGACGGCCATGACATTGATCCCCCTTTCCTATTGTAAGACATTACTTCCTGTACAGCCAAGCAAGATACAACTTTTTTTTTTCAATAATTATTTTTAAATATCAGCATCTGTTTTTTATTTCACTAACTTTACAATAATACTTTAAGTACACAAATAGATAGAGTCAGGATGCATCAGACAATAGGTCCCTACCACCTAGGCTCACCTTGGCTGCAGAACAGTAGGATGGATAGTTTGCTTTTATCCATTTTCTTTTGACCACCAGATGGAGACGTCCAGCGTGTCCATCTTTGAAAGTCTGAAGGTGGTGCTGGACTTCCAGACGCACCACCGGCTGCGCGAGGCCCAGGGGCGGGCGTTTGCTGAGGACCTGAATGAGAGGGTCCTGTATTGGTCCATAGGGGAGTCCCTAGTGGTCATCCTCATTGGTATTGGTCAGATTCTAGTCCTGCGGAGTTTCTTCACAAACACACACAAGACATCAGCTTCAACGTGAGGACAGGGCTGCTCTTTGTCTGTCTGTCTGTCTGTCTGTTTGTGAGAGAGGTGTATTCTTGTGATGAAAGCTTTTTCTTTTAAAAAATTTTTTTTTGTAGTTCTTTGTTGGTACCAGCAAGGTGTGTAGTTGTGTGTGTTGTACCAACAAGGTGTGTAGTTGTTTGTGTTGTACCAGCAAGGTGTGTAGTTGTTTGTGTTGTACCAGCAAGGTGTGTAGTTGTGTGTGTTGTACCAGCAAGGTGTGTAGTTGTGTGTGTTGTACCAACCAGGTGTGTAGTTGTGTGTGTTGTACCAGCAAGGTGTGTAGTTGTTTGTGTTGTACCAGCAAGGTGTGTGTGTTGTACCAACAAGGTGTGTAGTTGTTTGTGTTGTACCAGCAAGGTGTGTAGTTGTGTTTGTTGTACCAGCAAGGTGTGTAGTTGTGTGTGTTGTACCAACCAGGTGTGTAGTTGTGTGTGTTGTACCAACCAGGTGTGTAGTTGTGTGTGTTGTACCAGCAAGGTGTGTAGTTGTGTGTGTTGTACCAACCAGGTGTGTAGTTGTGTGTGTTGTACCAGCAAGGTGTGTAGTTGCTTCTTTAGTTGCAATATGCCAACAGCTGCCCACCCAGAATGGTTCTGCAGTAGCTGAAGGTGGATGTCAAAGATCAAATTATTTCTGTGTTTGTATTGACTTATGACTTATTTCTGTGTTTGTATTGGCTTATGACTTATTTCTGTGTTTGTATTGACTTATGACTTATTTCTGTGTTTGTATTGGCTTATGACTTTATACTTTGATCTGCTATGGCTGACATTTTAAGTGTCATTTTTTTTTTAAGAATTCTAAAAGTTGTATTATCACATTTCATGTCAATTTGAATGAATTTTTCCCTTTTTTTCCTTTATTAAAACTAAGTAAAACCATGTTACAATTTGTTTTCTTTCTTGCAGTGTCCCTAAGTAAAACCATGTCAACATTTGTTTTCTTTCTTGCAGTGTCCGCGCTTCCTAGAAGGGAGGCTGGCAGTTGAGTATATCAAATCTTGTGCCCGTGTCTGTCTATATCAAATCTTGTGCCCGTGTCTGTCTGCCCTAAATGTTTTTTTGGTTTTCTGGGGTCATCTTGCATGAGTCCTCCTTATTATCCTAATTAGCCATGTAAACAAAGCTCATTTAATTGACCTTAGTTAATAGAATTAGAATTTTAATCACTTGAAAAAGCTGCGTGCTGTTCTTAAGTCTACAAATGTTGATCATTACTATTGAAAAAATTGACCAACAATTTGTGACATTTTTCTGTTCATTATTTCAAAGCCATAAAAGAAAAATATTTTCTCTTGCTTTTTGAAGTCTAACAAGTAACAAATCTTTTTGATAACTTGCATGTATATAATGTACAATTCTAAAGGTTTAACCTTAAATTATTTGATAGCTTTAATTTTGGTTGCGGAGATTTACGTTTATTTGTGTGAAGGCAAGTGGTGTCTGTGTTACTCCATTCAGTCAGGTTCTTGCTTGTCAAACCACATGAGACTTGTAGTGTAAATTACATAGCTGGGACGTGAAAACAAAGCCTGTACTGAAAGAACTGTGAGAGTCAACTGTAAGGAGCCAACCCTGCTCTCTCTGTATTACACTGTTCTAATCCAACGGCAGCCCAACCAGTTCCATCACTGAAAGGTTTTGTTATTAATGTTACCTCATTCTAATGTTAGGTTATTCCCTGCCCTCAAACTTGAGTTGTTGTCTTGATCAAATTGTGGGTTTACTTTTGGTTGGTTTTTTTCTTTCCCAGCTTGCCTCTTCTATGTACATATCCAGCTTTCTTGCATTAACTGCTTGGTCAGACGGCCAGTGGTCAGGTGGCCAGTGGTCAGATGAACTATAAAAGCAAGGGCCAGCATGCTTTTTTACCTAGATAGTTTTAACTGAATTTTTTTCCCCCATCAATTTCATCTAACATCAACAGTTGACAAGGATCAGCTGTTGATGCCTGTGAAAGCAAGACATTTTGAAAGATGTGCCAGACAGACAATGAGGGACCTAACACACCATCATACAACCTAAACTAATGCCTCAACACTGTCACACAACTTATATACATCTAGACACAAAGATTTTTCATTTCTAGAAGGATGAGAAAAAAAGATGTCATGATTTGAGTGCTGGGACTAAAATTTTATGTTTTTATATCTAAGAACTTCATCTTAAGTACCAAACAAAAACATACAGTAAAACCTGATGTAGAATCTAACAATTCTGTCTATGTATTATATAACAATGCCATTTTAACACTTGTGGATCTACAAGTTGTGTGAGGACAGCCACTAGAAATATTGAAAGAATTTGTTAGAGTGAATCAAACAGGTGAGCCTAATCAAACTTTGGTCAATAGTGACTGGAAGTATTGCATTGTGTCATTTGATGTCATCATTGTTTAAGTAACTAGTAAGTTTTACTTGATGCCATTGTTTAAGTAACTAATAAGTTTTACTTGATGTCATTATTCCCAGAGTGCTATGATTGATTGATGTCGTTATTACTTATGTAATTTTACTTGATGTCAAGTAAACTTCTCTTGATGCTAGTATTGACTTCACTAGGAATCAGTAACATGGGTCCCATGATCACTACTATTTCAGCTTTTTTTAAAGAGGAGATAACTGTTGTTTGAAATTACTATTTACATATTTTAAAATTCTTAAAACTTTAAATCTTTAAAAATGTATTATTTTTATTCTAATTTAATAAGCTAATTTTTTTTTCATGACTGCCCTTTCCCAAGTAGGTCTGTTATTTACCATGTTACGTATGCCATGTCTGGGTGCCTGGTTAGATCTAATTGCAATTAGCCTTGTTATGGGATCATCCATTTATGATGTTCACAAACCTGTGTAGACTGGGAGGGGGTCAGAGTTCAAGTCCACTGCCATTATTTAGCTTCAAAATACTTTAATATTAAATAGAATATAAGATAATTTAACTACATATAAGGGGTCGGCGTGGTCGAGTCGGTAAAGCTCATGGTTGCTAAACCGAAAAGTCTCGAGTTCGAACCCTCGGGCAGATGAGGCTCGTTAGCTGGGGACAGCCACTCTTCTAGGAGAGACAACTCCAAAATTAAACAACTGCTGCCTTGTAGTTTGTTCTTGGTTGGACAAAGGCTATGGAAGCAAATCCAAAAAGAAAAGCAGGCTGAAATCGGAGTCAATGGCCTCAATGGCGCATAACCAGTTGACACGTAACACTTAATTGTGTTGGAGGCGTGGTCGAGTCGGCAAAAAGCTCATGGTTGATAAATTCGAACAAAGTCTCGAGTTTAAACCCACTGGCAGATAAATCTCGATCCCCTTCAACACTAATAATTAAGAACGAAGAAGAAGAAGAACTACATATAGAACGCTTGGTAATATATTACATGTAGAATACAATAATTTTTAACTATAAAATATAGTAGTGCTAGTTTTATGGAATGAAATTTTTAGCCCTATATCAACCAAAAATGGATGTAGTATATTAGTTTATTGTGGGTAAGGATGAAAATCTTTTAATGTTATTTACACAGTGATAAGAAATGGCCACAGACCATGAAATATGTTTTCTATCTCTTTACACTCCTGATTTTTTTTTAAGCTCCTGGGCTGATTAAAAACTTAACCCAGCACCTCCGGGTCCATTAACAGTTTGGAAAAGATGAACTGGTACATAAGCATAAAAGGTAGCCTAGCTAGAAATATAAAAAGTACACATGCAAGGGGGGGGGGGGGTTGTAGTTTTGAGAATGTTTTAAATGGATGATCCCTAGCCAGTGTGTCCACTTCTATCTGAATGTACCAAGGGTACATGTGTTAACCATGTCACTAGTTGATGTGTCCACTTCTATCTGAATGTACCAAGGGTACATGTGTTAATCCTGTCACTAGTTGATGTGTCCACTTCTGCCATCTGAATGTACAAAGGGTACATGTGTTAACCCTGTCACTAGTTGTTGATGTGTCCACTTCTATCTGAATGTACAAAGGGTACATGTGTTAACCCTGTCACTAGTTGTTGTTGTGTCCACTTCTATCTGAATGTACAAAGGGTACATGTGTTAACCCTGTCACTAGTTGTTGATGTGTTAACCCTGCCAATAGTTGATGTGTCCACTTCTATCTGAATGTACAAAGGGTACATGTGTTAACCCTGCCACTAGTTGTTGATTTACTTACCAGAGGGTGGGGATGAAAATTATTTTCATTTTGAAGTATAGGCGAGGAATGAATTATATTCTGTTGTTTTTGTATTATCAAATAATAAAAAGTTATAAACACATTTACACCAGTTAAGTGAAGTCTTTAGAAATGTTGAAGGAAGAACTGCTCAGGTTTTTGTTATATATTGATAGAATGGACAAGGTTTAACAGTAAGGGTGCCATGTACAGGCAGGCAAGTGGGGTGAACACTGGGGTATCAGCTGGGGTTTGGTACTGGTCACCTTTATGCTGAGATGGCGTTTGGTACTGGTCACCTTTATGCTGAGATGGGGTTTGGTACTGGTCACCTTTATACTGAGATGGCGTTTGGTACTGGTCACCTTTACGCTGAGATGGGGTTTGGTACTGGTCACCTTTATACTGAGATGGGGTTTGGTACTGGTCACCTTTATACTGAGATGGGGTTTGGTACTGGTCACCAACTACCTTTATACTGAGATGGGGTTTGGTACTGGCCACCAACTAAACTTTATAATGAGATGGGGTTTGGTACTGGTCACCAACTACCTTTATAATGAGATGGGGTTTTATGGTTAAAAAGGAAAGGCTTTGTTATTTTCATCAAATTTATTTTACTAGCAAAATGTTTATTTACATGTGAAAGTACAGCACCCAATGACCTGGAGAAACTAGCAAACAGTTAAGTGATACATAACAGTAGACCAACAGATGAAATGTTGCAGGAACTTCTCCAATGTAGAAAAGTTCCAGAACTGTAAGCCGTGTGAAAGTCACAAACAATTTTGTCAATGGTGATGTTATATCCCCCCCCCCCTCCTGTGCACCTTGTGCCCTGGATTAAATGAGCAGTCTAACACACCTGTTCATGTGACAGTAACTGAAATAAAACATCTACCCCTTGTGGCTGTAGCACCACCATGTGACTGAGACCTACAGTAGCACCACCATGTGACTGAGACCTACAGTAGCACCACCATGTGACTGAGACCTACAGTAGCACCACTATGTGACTGAGGCATACAGTAGCACCACCATGTGAGACCTACAGTAGCACCACTATGTGACTGAGACCTACAGTAGCACCACCTATGTGACAGAGACCTACAGTAGCACCACTATGTGACTGAGACCTACAGTAGCACCACCATGTGACAGAGACCTACAGTAGCACCACCATGTGAGACCTACAGTAGCACCACCATGTGACTGAGACCTACAGTAGCACCACCATGTGACTGAGACCTACAGTAGCACCACCATGTGACTGAGACCTACAGTAGCACCACCATGTGAGACCTACAGTAGAACCACCATGTGACTGAGACCTACAGTAGCACCACCATGTGACTGAGACCTACAGTAGCACCACCATGTGACTGAGACCTACAGTAGCACCACCATGTGACTGAGACCTACAGTAGCACCACCATGTGAGACCTACAGTAGCACCACCATGTGACTGAGACCTACAGTAGCACCACCGTGTGACTGAGACCTACAGTAGCACCACCATGTGACTGAGACCTACAGTAGCACCACCATGTGACTGAGACCTACAGTAGCACCACCATGTGAGGCCTACAGTAGCACCACCGTGTGACTGAGACCTACAGTAGCACCACCATGTGACTGAGGCATACAGTAGCACCACCATGTGAGACCTACAGTAGCACCACCATGTGACTGAGACCTACAGTAGCACCACCATGTGACTGAGACCTACAGTAGCACCACCATGTGACTGAGACCTACAGTAGCACCACCATGTGAGACCTACAGTAGCACCACCATGTGACTGAGGCCTACAGTAGCACCACCATGTGACTGAGACCTACAGTAGCACCACCATGTGACTGAGACCTACAGTAGCACCACCATGTGACAGGCATACAGTAGCACCACCATGTTAAACACTTGTACAAATGAGTTGGGCAGAAAAACTCTTACTAGGAAAATGTTATTACAAATATAACTGAATAATGTCTACTAGGTACATAGGTGTAGTTGAAATATTTTCTAACCTCATTTGGTTCATATTAAAATAACATACATGGAGATAACGAATTGATGATGGAACAAAGAACTCTCTCAACAGGCTCTTCCCACACACACACACACACACACACACAGTCTGACACATGCACACACAAACTTGTTGACCAGTCAAACCCCCAGTAGATTATGCAGCTCATCATCATCAATCAGTGGTTCCTCTTCCTCCTCTTGTTTGGCCTCTTCCATCACCTCATCCGCCACTCCTGCCCCTGAGACCTCCTCATCTGACCCCCCACCTTCCTGCTCCTGTCTCATCAGCTCTTCAATCCTGGCATTCAGGTCTCTCCGCTAGACAGACAACAACAAATTAACTCTCCGCTAGACAGACAACAACAAATTAACTCTCCGCTAGACAGACAACAACAAATTAACTCTCCGCTAGACAGACAACAACAAATTAACTCTCCGCTAGACAGACAACAACAAATTAACTCTCCGCTAGACAGACAACAACAAATTAACTCTCCGCTAGACATACAACAACAAATTAACTCTCCGCTAGACATACAACAACAAATTAACTCTCCGCTAGACAGACAACAACAAATTAACTCTCTGCTAGACATACAACAACACATTAACTCTCTGCTAAACAGACAACAAATTAACTCTCCACTAGACATACAACAACAAATTAACTCTCCGCTAGACAGACAAAAACAAATTAACTCCCCGCTAGACAGACAACAACAAATTAACTCTCTGCTAGACAGACAACAACAAATTAACTCTCCGCTAGACAGACAACAATAAATTAACTCTCCGCTAGACAGACAACAACAGATTAACTCTCCACTAGACAGACAACAAATTAACTCTCCGCTAGACAGACAACAACAAATTAACTCTCCGCTAGACAGACAAAAACAAATTAACTCTCCGCTAGACAGACAACAACAAATTAACTCTCCGCTAGACAGACAACAAAAAATTACTCTCTGCTAGACAGACAACAACACATTTACTCTCTACTAGACAGACAACAACAAATTAACTCTCCACTAGACCGGCAACAACAAATTAACTCTTCACTAAACAGACAACAAAAAATTACTCTCTGCTAGACAGACAACAACAAATTAACTCTCTGCTAGACCGGCAACAACAAATTAACTCTTCACTAAACAGACAACAAAAAATTACTCTCTGCTAGACAGACAACAACAAATTAACTCTCTGCTAGACAGACAACAACTTGAAGATACTATATTGACCGAGTTAAAAAAGAGACTAGAGTGTACCTTTGATTCTAACAATTCTTCATCATCATCCTCGGTCAACTCGAGTACGGCCGTGTCTTCATGGCCAACAACTGTGTGGTTGCTGCCAGTCACAGGAGACTGGTGACTGGGGGGTGAGGAGCTGTAGGTGCTGGATCTAGTGGCTGGGGGTGGGGAGGTTCCGTAGGTGTTGGCTAGTCTGTCCAGTGCTGTGATTTGTCTGGCAAATAAAGTAGGATAGATAGGTACAAGCAAGCTCTACATGTCACTGGGTCACATGCACATGTCACAGTTGGACTTTAGTTATAAATTGAACAGAACAAGCACATTGTAAGCACAAGGATGTGAACAGATCATAGAAAAAGGAAGTTTCTAACATGGACCCTATGTTTTATCATTGAGTTAAACTATTGATCTAGTTAGACTTTAGTTTCCAATTTAATATTATGGCTTAAAGATGGGCAAGGTAAGTTTTCAACAGTAAAGAGTCCAGATCTGATTGCCCAGATTAGCTCAGTGAGACAGGTTTAGAACTTGTAAAAACATGGACCATATCCATAGTTGTAGCCAAGCCACATCTTCATGTTTCAAGAATAACCTTGGGCTGCTATTAAAAATTGTCTCAATCATTTATTTTCTCCTGCAAACAAGACAGGCCCAGTGGTCATGGTGAGTTCAAATTAGTTTTGAAATCCAGTCTGCCTATATCTTATGTCATAGCAGGAACATTTTGAGATGGTGACAAAACAAGTAGAATCAAATACAATGGGGACCATTGCTACAAGGAGGGACGGGTAGTTTATTCCTCATAGTCAACTTTTGCAGGGATTTCAAAATTAATTTGAGGTAGCTAAATAAATGTAAGGCAAAGAGAACTGGTAGAGGGGGTTGCTTTTAACAAACAGTGTGAATTCAAGTACTGGTAGTAAATTAGGCTATAGCTTGACTAACATGATGGCGAGATTAACTGTAATGAAACCAGGACTGGGAGATATTCACCTCATTTAAAGACCTACAACATTTTATTATTATTTTTTTGGGAATATATTTTGCTGAAATGTCAGTGAAAAATTCAGACTAAAAATGTGCATTTGAAAAAATTCAAAATCTTGACCTAGATATAATATTTACCTAGTACCATCTGCCCTAGTGTAATCCCTGATTTGAAAAGATATGCACGTATTTGCTCATCTATTTAAGTTAATTTAAAAGTTATAGTCAAAACCTCTCCCACCAAAAAATGTTTGCCCAGTTGGGATAAGTGCCCTATATGTAATGGAGAATTACATTTTGCAGCTAGCCTACTGCAATCTATGTGTATAAACACAACTATAACTTTTTAAAATTTACTTGTCATAAGAATTATCATCCCTTTATAAAAGCTGACTCCTTGTCAAAAGAAAACTCTGGGCTAAGATAGTTGAGTTACTTCCCTTCTTTACTTCTGTACATAGCCATATATAATTGATTTCTAAAAACTCATGAAAAATCTAAGTAGCACTAAATATACAGAATATTGTTATTAAATACCTGTAGAAGGAGTAATGGGTGAAAAATTGCAAGACTTGAATGAAAAAGACAAAAAAGGTGAGAAGAATGAAGATGAATCAATGAAAAGTTTGTAAGCAACTGGACCTACTTGACAGCATTAGTCACCATATTGGACAGGTAGAGACCAACTTGAGCCAGCGCTCCACCCACGTGAGGAATAACTGGACTGGCAGCCTCACCCCCAGGGACTGCTTCATCCTCCTCTACCTCATCCTCACCCACTGTTGGGGGCAGGGGCAGACTCAGAGGCCTCCTGGGGTCGTAGGTCACTGGCTCCCCATGAGATGTTCTCAGTTCCTTCTTGAGACCAGCACTCTCCAACTCAGGCTGAGTCCCGTGGCTGGCTGAGTCAGCTCCAGTGTCCAGCCCATCTCTAAAGATAGAATTTAAGCCTGGTATAAGCGTGGGGTCCGAAGTCTGCGTGACCAGGGAGTCGTCCACTTGAACAGATGAGAGGTCTGAGGGGTTGGCTGGAGAGGACTGGTCAGTGCTGGCCACTCTCTGACTGCATGTGCTGCTTGCAGGAGGAGTTGATGGACTGGCGCCATTACAGCCTGCACTTGGCACTGACTGACTTTTTGATGGGCTGTTACATCCAGCATCTGTTGCTGCATGAGTTCCTGATGGACTGGGGTGTCCAGCGTCTGTTGTTGTCTCTGCCAGATTATTGTTCCTGGGGTCCCCATTGACAGCAGGCAAGGATGGAACACTACCACTAGATGACAGCTCGTTCTCTTTGTTTTCTCTCAACTTGGACTTGGGTTCAGGGAGCTGTGGGAGTCACAATACATTTTGTTAGATAACTGTGGGAGTCACAAGATATTCTGTTAGATACTGTGGGAGTCACAATACATTCTGTTAGATTACTGTTGGAGTCAAAATACATTCTGTTAGATACTGTGGGAGTCACAAGATATTCTGTTAGATACTGTGGGAGTCACAAGATATTCTGTTAGATACTGTGGGAGTCACAAGATATTCTGTTAGATAGTGGGGGAGTCACAAGATATTCTGTTAGATACTGTAGGAGTCACAATACATTCTGTTAGATAACTGTGGGAGTCACAAGATATTCTGTTAGATAGTGGGGGAGTCACAAGATATTCTGTTAGATACTGTAGGAGTCACAATACATTCTGTTAGATAACTGTGGGAGTCACAAGATATTCTGTTAGAAACTCTAGGAGTCACAATACATTCTGTTAGATACTGTAGGAGTCACAATACATTCTGTTAGATACTGTGGGAGTCACAAGATATTCTGTTAGAAACTCTAGGAGTCACAATACATTCTGTTAGAAACTCTAGGAGTCACAAAACATTCTGTTAGATAGTGTCTATATATGACGCAACTGTATTTTTAAAGTTTTAAATGTTTAAAATCTAAAATGTGTAGAGCCAAACAACCATTACCTTTCCAGCCTCCTCTGCTAAGAAGAAAGATTTAAATTTATGATAAATAATTTCTGCCTTCTGTTGGATGGCAGCACTTTTTTTAAACTTGCGACATTTTTTTATCGTGGCCATTATATTGGGATTCTTGCGCAACAGTGGCGGGTTGACGGGGATGGCTGCCAGGTCTTCAAGGATGGCAACACACTTGTCTATGTCCTGCGGATACACAATCATTGTCACAGTCAACACAATCATTGTCACAGTCAACACAATCATTGTCAGCAGTCAGCACAATCATTGTCACAGTCAACACAATCATTGTCACAGTCAACACAATCAATGTCAGCAGCCAACACAATCATTGTCACAATCAACACAATTATTTTTACAGTCAACACAATCATTGTCACAGTCAACACAATCATTGTCACAGTCAACACAATCATTGTCACAGTCAACACAATCATTTTTGCAGTCAACACAATCATTGTCACAGTCAACACAATCATTGTCAGCAGTCAACACAATCATTGTCACAGTCAACACAATCATTGTCACAGTCAACACAATCATTGTCACAGTCAACACAATCATTGTCACAGTCAACACAATCATTGTCACAGTCAACACAATCATTGTCAGCAGCCAACACAATCATTGTCACAATCAACACAATCATTTTTACAGTCAACACAATCATTGTCACAGTCAACACAATCATTGTCACAGTCAACATAATCATTTTTACAGTCAACACAATCATTGTCATAGTCAACTCAATCATTGTCACAGTCAACACAATCATTGTCACAGTCAACACAATCGTTGTCACAGTCAACACAATCGTTGTCAGTCAACACAATCATTGTCACAGTCAACACAATCATTGCCAGCAGTCAACACAATCATTGCTATCATTCAACACAATCATTGCTCCCACTCAACACAATCATTGCTACCATAGACATACATTGACCAGACATGCCTGCCCTAGAAACAGTCAAACTTGACCATGAAATTTTAGCATCAAAGAGGACCATTAGAGTTGCTGCTACTTTGTTCAACCAAAACTATTTAATATGAGCAATTTCTGTAAGTCTTTAGTGCAATACGGCTAGTGTCTGGACTAGACCTATTTATTATTTAATCAAGATCTACATCAAACAAAAACTAAGTAGGCCTACACCTAAACCCTTCCTACTATAGTAGAATTGACAACTGATAGTAGATCGTTCAACTGATTGCCAAATCACTAATGCAAATACCTAAACAACACTATTTTCCCTATTTCTTCTTTCCTCAGTAAAAGCTTCCAAATGTTTTTGTATTTATTTATTTTTTAAAGTTATTATATCTAAAAAAAAATGTTCATCTAAGACAGATGTGTTATCTATGACATTTATTATCTAATTAGACAGATGTGTTATCTAAGACATTTATTATCTAATTAGACAGATGTGTTATCTAAGACATATATAATCTAATTAGACAGATGTGTTATCTAAGACATTTATTATCTAATTAGACAGATGTGTTATCAAAGACATTTATTATCTAATTAGACAGATGTGTTATCTATGACATTTATTATCTAATTAGACAGATGTGTTATCTAAGACATTTATTAATTAGACAGATGTGTTATCTAAGACATATAATCTAATTAGACAGATGTGTTATCTAAGACATTTATTATCTAATTAGACAGATGTGTTATCAAAGACATTTATTATCTAATTAGACAGATGTGTTATCTATGACATTTATTATCTAATAAGACAGATGTGTTATTTAATTGAGAAAGCAGAGAGTTTTTATCCATGGCTTCCCAACTGCCACACAATGAACTAGGCTAGCCAATCCACTGTAAGGTGTGACAGACTAGTCCTGACTATAAACCAATCAAATTAGTCCTTACAGCCACTTACCAAGCTCTCAATGTTCAGGGCTTTCTTGATCTCTGCATCCATCTGAATGAGAGTGTTTTCAGCTAAACTAACTGAAAAACATAATGGCAATTTTTTAAAAAAAATTATTTTAATGAGAGTGTTTTCAGCTAAACTAACTGAAAAACATAATGGCAATTTAAAGAAATAATATTTTTAATGAGAGTGTTTTCAGCTAAACTAACTGAAAAACATAATGGCAATTTAAAGAAATAATATTTTTAATGAGAGTGTTTTCAGCTAAACTAACTGAAAAACATAATGGCAATTTAAAGAAATAATATTTTTAATGAGAGTGTTTTCAGCTAAACTAACTGAAAAACATAATGGCAATTTTAAAAAAAAATATTTTTAATGAGAGTGTTTTCAGCTAAACTAACTGAAAAACAAAATGGCAATTTTTAAAAAAAATATTTTTAATGAGAGTGTTTTCAGCTAAACTAACTGAAAAACAAAATGGCAATTTTAAAAAATAATATTTTTAATGAGAGTGTTTTCAGCTAAACTAACTGAAAAACAAAATGGAAATTTTAAAAAATAATATTTTTAATGAGAGTGTTTTCAGCTAAACTAACTGAAAAACATAATGGCAATTTAAAGAAATAATATTTTTAATGAGAGTGTTTTCAGCTAAACTAACTGAAAAACAAAATGGAAATTTAAAAAAAAAAAAAGTTTAATGAATGTACTTCTGATGAAACTGAATGATTCATTTCTAAACGAATCAGTACATTTTTCTGTTGCCATGACAACAAGGGCAGTAAACAACCAAATACAAGGGGTCAGCACTGAATGATAGGGCTAGCACTAAATGATGGGGCTAGCACTAAATGATGGGGCTAGCACTAAATGATGGGGCTAGCACTAAATGATGGGGCTAGCACTAAATGATGGGGCTAGCACTAAATGATGGGGCTAGCACTAAATGATGGGGCTAGCACTAAATGATGGGGCTAGCACTAAATGATGGGGCTAGCACTAAATGATGGGGCTAGCACTAAATGATGGGGCTAGCACTAAATGATGGGGCTAGCACTAAATGATGGGGCTAGCACTAAATGATGGGGCTAGCACTAAATGATGGGGATATCAAAGCTTACAGGATATTTGTTCCTTCTTTTCTCGCTTTTTCTGTTCCAGCTTTTCTTGTTTCTTGCGTTCCTTTTCTTGTTGTCTAGGAAAAAATGTGATTGTAATAAGATATTTTTTTTATCATTATTGTTTGCTATTAACATTTTAAAAGTCAGCTACCAAAAACTACATTCTATTGGATACACCCACTGTGTCAACAAATGTAAAATCTTCTCTAATTAGATCATCATCCTACTCAGGCAGCTCAAGTCTTTCTAGAGATCTAGCTAGATACTTTCTTACATTTTGATCTAGCAAGATACTTTCTTACATTTTCTTTTCTTTTTCAAATTTTCTGCTTTTGTCCTCCTCTTTTCTCCTTTTCTCTTCCTCGTTGTGTGTCTTTTTCTTCTCCTCTTTCACTTTTTCCTCTTCAGACTTGTGTTCATGGCCTGACCTCTCCTGGTGGCAAAAAGTAAACAACTTACAAACACAAACAAAAAGTAAACAACTTACAAACACAAACAAAAAGTAAACAACTTACAGACATAAACTAAAAGTAAACAACTTACAGACACAAACAAAAAGTAAACAACTTACAGACACAAACAAAAAGTAAACAACTTACAGACACAAACTAAAAGTAAACAACTTACAGACATAAACTAAAAATAACAACTTACAGACACAAACAAAAAGTAAACAACTTACAGACACAAACAAAAAGTAAACAACTTACAGACACAAACTAAAAGTAAACAACTTACAGACACAAACAAAAAGTAAACAACTTACAGACACAAACAAAAAGTAAACAACTTACAGACATAAACTAAAAGTAAACAACTTACAGACACAAACTAAAAGTAAACAACTTACAGACACAAACAAAAAGTAAACAACTTACAGACACAAACAAAAAGTAAACTTACAGACACAAACAAAAAGTAAACAACTTACAGACATAAACTAAAAGTAAACAACTTACAGACACAAACAAAAAATAAACAACTTACAGACACGAACTAAAAGTAAACAACTTACAGACACAAACTGAAAGTAAACAACTTACAGACACAAACAAAAAGTAAACAACTTACAGACATAAACTAAAAGTAAACAACTTACAGACACAAACTGAAAGTAAACAACTTACAGACACAAACTAAAAGTAAACAGCTTATAGACACAAACTGAAAGTAAACAACCCTTTACAGTCCTATGCACCTCGGTCGCCCAAGAATGTTTTTGTGTGGTAGAGTCCAGTGTGCCAGCAGTTGCCCAAACTTTGTATAGTACATTTATTTACGTGTAATAATGGACGTCTCAATGGTAACGATATTTTAAAAGTATCGTTCAAAGCGGGAAATTATACATTTTATTGACATTGTTTCCTTGTTCTATCCATTGTCGTTAGTTTTCTACGATTTTTCTACAGTTAAGAATTTTTTTTCTTGAAATTACAGGCAATATTATAATAAGTGAAATTACATCTAATTAAAATACTTCTGCAGTTGATTCAAGTTGTATTTATAATAAAACTTATACAGTGATATCAAAACATAAAACTAATACAGTAATAACAAAACATAAAACTAATACAGTGATAAGAAAAAATAAAACTAATACAGTGATAACAAAACATAAAACTAATACAGTGATAACAAAACATAAAACTAATACAGTAATAACAAAACATAAAACTAATACAGTGATAACAAAACATAAAACTAATACAGTGATAACAAAACATAAAACTAATACAGTGATATCAAAAACAGGAAGTTGCTACAGTGACTTAGCTAGGCCAATGCAAAAATTTAATTTCAGTAAAACAATATAATAGTTACATATTTAGATAGGGGCTGTCAATCTGATTACAGATCAGTTTGAATTTTCAAAATCTGACCATAAACATAAAAGTTATGAATTTTTTAGTCATTAAAAAACAGCAGTTTTTTCAGACAACCGGGGTAGACCCTGAAAGAGGAAAAATACTGGGAGGGTATGGACCAAATTTTTAAGAGTTTTTCACTAAAAGTGGTATAAAAGTAAGCAGACTTCACCAATTGATGTCATTTTATGATATTTTGTAGATTTTTGTATGCCGAATCCAATGATGCTATTTTAAAAAGTGTCTTTTGATTACATAACAGACTTATTTCATGGATTATGTAATACCCCCCTTCAATTTTTTTTACAACATCTGATAATCCGTGTGATAAGAAGTCATTCTTTAAATTAAACACTGTTTTAAACCATAATATGACATTTGTATATGCTGAAGCTAGTGGTGATATTTAAAATGGTCGAACATTATTACAAAACTATAAAGGTCAGGTTATGTAATTCGCACCTTTTGCTCATAATTTACCATGTATTTATTTTAAAATCTCTTTTGCTCATTGTCAGTTAACTTAAGTGAATAGCCTACTTAAAGAAAAGATAACTAATACAGTTTTAATACAAAGAGAAGGATGCTATAACAACAGTATATTTGTGATGATGTAACTTCTTAAAATATGTTATGTAATCTATGTGCAATCCTACAGGCCTACTCTATTCCAAAAATATAGGCATATCTTATTATATTTATATTTCTTGTTACTTTAAATGTCATACCATTGATACAACTTTCTTCTATAGAATTAGCCTTGTTACAAATGTGTCTTATCAGAATCAGTGTGCTTTAAGACAATTTTGTAATATTTTTAAACGCAAAAAAATTGCTCATTTTTACAAATTTAATAACATAAACATTGGAGGAAAATTGTTTTTTTTTTAGCTTGTACAAGGTAGTGTAAGTTATAGGTCTATAACATAGATTTATATATGCCCAATGTTTATGCTAGTAGTAAGCTTGTGTATTTTGGGGGAAAAAAGCACGTGTTTGAGTGCTTGACTGTGTGTAGCAGATGCTAGGCATTTTTTAAGTTTCCCGTGTCTGGCTTAACACGGAGGCGTTTATCACCATCAGCATTTGCCTAGATTTAGTGAAATCAGACGTGGGTAACCAGGTTTTCTGACCAACGAATTTTATTGCCGTATTACGTAAACACGAGGCTAGATAGGCTAGTCGGCCAACCCGATGAACGTGTCAGACGAATATTATGTAATTTTAGAGACAAAAGTCTGGGAAGATTTCCTGATCTATGCCCGAGGGTTAGTAACATCAACTCCACAAAGTGAAGGGGGAGGGAGGTGGGGTATGAAACCACCGCGAGCCGCTCGGGTACCGTACGGGTGTTACACAACATCAAAGGCGCCGACCCTCGGCTTGTCGCGTCACGGAGTAGTGGGGGCGGGGTGAGGCTATGGATGTTACATACGGTGTTACAATAGTTACATACCGTGTAGGATGGTCAGTGACTCCCCATACCCACCCCATCCCATTTTGGTCGATTTGGCAAGCTAGTAACCTCCACGTTGTTAAGGGTTTTAAAAATAAAATTTTTAGTCAACCGAAAAAAAGAGCCCGGGGTAAAATTTAATTTATTTTTTAAAGCCATTTTTACTAAAAAGTAATGTACACAATAATGAAACGAATCACGTCAGCATTGTTTGGTCGGGTCGCAGCTATCCGGATTAATTTCTAAAGAAGATTAATTTTGACGATTAGTAAATACTATTACGACTTTTTTTGCCGTTTCAATGGTTTAAAACAAAGTTATGAAACATGCCTGTCTACTTAAATATAAAATAGCAATACCCGACGAGTCAAACACGGGAACACATGTAGGCCTATCTATCTTTAGAAATTGTTTATTATAGTCTCATCCAATCGGATCAACCGCCTAGCGTCACGTGACCACACACTCGCTGTGCTACACGATGTGTAGATCACGATTCAGTCGGACGGCGGCCGACGCGTTAATTTTTATTTTCGTTCCGTCTTAAAATGTATGGACGGCTTTATTATGAGGTGTTATAATACATGTCATACATTAAAATAATCGGCGGGATTTCAGGAATACAGCTCAAGGTTCAAATGTAAAATAGGCCAAATAATAGACCGGGAAACTTAGTTCAACTTTGCGGTCCGATATCTCCCGAAGTATTTAACTTATTTTGACCACGAACCTTGAGCGTTGTACGTCTACATTTAATCTGTTCGTCTGCCAAATTTGATTGTTGTAGTACGTAAACTCGATAAGTCTATAAAAAAAACTGTAGCGCGTCATATTTAAAACAGCGATTCGAAGCACAGCCGAGCGGTTCAGTCGGACAGCGGTCGGCGCGTCATGTTTTGATTTTCGGTCCACTTCAAAGTCTATAGACGTCCTTATTATAGGGCCTAATATGACAAATCATACATATTAATAAACGTCGAGATTTCAGGAATACAGCTCAAGGTTCAAATTAAAAATCGGTTCATTAATAGCCCAAATAACTTAGTTCAACTTTGCCGTTCGATATCTCCAAAAGTATTTAACATATTTTCCCCAAGAACCTTGAGCGTTATACGTGAACATTTAATCTATTCTTCTACCAAGTTTCACTGTTGTAGTACGAAAACTCAAAGAGTCTATAGACTCTAAGTAACACCCCTCTTTTAAAAAGGTGAAAAAGCCTCCCCCTAATCGGCACGTCGCCGCGGGGGGTAAAAAATGCGATTAAATCGGCGATTTCTTCAACGTCTGAAATAATACAGAAATCAAACTTATACAGTGTAAAAGGTTATTCAATTACGAACAGAATGATGTATAACATGTTAACATAAACACAATAAAAGCATGCAAAAAACAGAGTTAAACATGCAGGGGGTAGGGAAAAGCCGATTTGTCCGATTTTCTCGGCAGCGGCATTGGCCTAGCTAAGTGACTATGGTGAATTTTTTTGTAGCCTTTTAAAGTAACTTATTTTTACAGAAATAATAATCGAGTTAGCGTTTGTTTACGCATATTTGCGATTAGTGTAATTCATATTTATTATAATTAAATTAAGATGCTATTTTACTTCATACATAAAGCTTTTTTACCTTGTTTTACCGTAAGTGATTATTGTAAATAATTTTTTTTAAAAGTGCCGAAGTTGAAAAATGTGTTGCCTTACACCTGACTGTAGGGGAAGTTAAACAGTTTTGATGATAGGAAATGATTAAGGAAACAGACAAAAGTTAACAAAGATGTAGATAAAAAACAGATTTTAAAAAAGCAGTGAAAAAGATCCTGACCTTGGAATGCTTCCGTTTGGCAGTGTCCTGTTTGTCAACCACAGGTGTGCCGGGTTTGTCTGCCACAACAGGTGTGCCGGGCTTGTCTGCCTGCTCCTCCACACACTCCTTCACTTCCTCTTTCAGTCTCTCCTCAGCTGCCTCTTTAGTCACGTCACTAACTTCTTCTTTTTTATCACTCACTTTGTTATCTTTCTTTTCTTCATCATTTTCTTTTTTGTCTGGGCTATCTTTAGCTACTGGCTGAATCTTCTCTGTTTTCACTTCTTTCTCTTCTGTTTTCTTCTCTTTCTTTTTCTTATCACTCTCTGATGATTTCTCCCTATCATCCTGAGTAGCCTGCACAAAATACGAGGACAGTTGAGCATACAGATAATGTGGACAGTTTAACATATGAATAATTGGGACAGTTTAGCATACAGATAATATGAGGACAGTGCACACCACCATGGCAGCTGAAGTGGTCCACACAACCCACACACACACACAGGGAGTATGCCTAACACATTAACAAGAATCATCTCACCTTTTTGGCCAAGACAAAGTCATCAAATTTTTTCTTCTTCCTCTCCCTCTTGCTGTGTTTGTTGGGCGTGTCCTCTTCCTCCTCCCCCCCAGCCTCCTGCTTCTTCTGTCGCTCCAGTTTCAGCTCAGCTTTAGCCTTCTGTATGCGCTCTTTTTCTTCCTTCTCTTTTCTGTGTACAAAGACAGGTTAAGTAAGAATGGTGGTCCCAGATGACAGGTAAAGTAAGAATGGTGGTCCCAGATGACAGGTAAAGTAAGAATGGTGGTCCCAGATGACAGGTAAAGTAAGAATGGTGGTCCCAGATGACAGGTAAAGTAAGAATGGTGGTCCCAGATGACAGGTTAAGTAAGAATGGTGGTCCCAGATGACAGGTAAAGTAAGAATGGTGGTCCCTGAGATGACAGGTTAAGTAAGAATGGTGGTCCCAGATGACAGGTAAAGTAAGAATGGTGGTCCCAGATGACAGGTTAAGTAAGAATGGTGGTCCCAGATGACAGGTAAAGTAAGAATGAGAGATGACATGTGTAGACCAAATTATCAGGCTACCTGGCAGCCTCTTCTCTTTGTTTTTTCTCTATCTCCTTCTGACGTTCTTCCTCTTTTTTCTTCCAGGAGCTAAGAGCACCTTCATCCTCAGCTTCCTCTTCATCATTGTCACTACAGAAACAAAGTTCAAAGGTCATTGGGTCTACGACTTATTCCCAAAAGACACTTGCCTGAATGTCGAATTCCAGAATGGAAAGTAATCGCTCCAACACATTGTCTAAACAAGGTGCATTAAATAAAGATCAAATATAATTGACTAACTTAAATTTTTAAATTCGCCGCCTAGACCATGCCTCAATCTCTGTGAATTGACCACCACACTAGTTAAGCCAGTGGTTCCCAACCTTTTTCGAGTGGCGACCCCCTTTTATAAAAAGTAAGTGACCCGCGACCCCCCATAGAATTAAAAAGCCGAAATTAGTATGGAAATTAATAAGCACTAAAATAAGATTTTCTAGTAGACTTTCAATATGAACTACTCTTGATAACTGTTTTAATAGCATGAGTTAAATTGCATACTATTCACTAAACCTTCGTGGTTAAGTTTTTAATTTTAAAAAAAAAAACTGTTAACGCCAACCTATGTCATTATAATTATCTTAATTTTGTTTTTAAACGAAGAATAGTGTTGAAAATATATTCTCGAAAAGTCAATCAATTTTACGTTTGGGTATGAATGGTGAATACTACACCAAAATTGTGTCTGCAGTTTTTCATCTTACACAGAATCATTTTGCAAATCAAATAATTCATCTTGTAATTCATCGGGAATACTGGCAACATCAAGGGAAGAAAAGAATGGGTAATGCGTAAATGCAGATTCTTCTTTTTTCAGCTCAGAGGAATAGCGATGCAGTTCGTTTTCAAGAGATTCAAGATGCCCAGAAATCGCTTCTTTCAAAATTTTAATTATCTCACAATCAGATTCATCTACCACACCGCAAAGTTTCTCAAATTTACAATATTTCCAAGATTTGTTTTCTTTACCGATTTTGCAGCTTTGATAAGAATGCCCCGATATTATCATGGAAAGTTATAATATTCGTTCATTTTCCCTGAAGCTTCAGGTTAAGCTTATCTTGATGTTTGAACACATCTGTTAGATATGATACTCTCTCCAATCATTCTATGTCGTTTAAAGTATACCAAAAAAGTCTTGTTTCCTTTGCACTCCCAAGAACAATTTGATTTTAGATTTCAATTCAAAAACACAATTTACAACATTTCGTTTGACAGCCAGCGTACTGTAGTGTAGAAGAGCAGAACCTCGTGATCTTTATTAATGTTTTTGCTTAGTTCTTTGAAGGCTCCAGATTTTATATAATTTACGACTTATACTAGCAATTGACTCTTGATGTCGATTGGTTAGGGCAGTGGTTAGGGAGCTAAATCTTTTCTGTTTTCTGAAAGCCCGATTTTGAGCTAAACATAGATGGCGCACCATCCGTACAAACCCCACAGCCGTTCTAACCCATTTTAATCATCCAGTTTCAAAAAAGATATTTATTTTCTCCATGCTATCTTCACAAAAGAGCAACTCTTTTATCTTTGCTATCATCCGCATGAATATAGACACAGACCAGCAACTGCGAACACGAACTCACGTCTGTTGATTTATCAACTTGAAAAGCAAACAATGGTGAAAGCTTAATTTCAATAAAAATGTGTTATTTAGCATTTACGTACATGCAGCGTTTGATGAGATTTTCTCCTATTGTTTTTTTTTTTGCTTGGCATTGTCTATCGCGACTTCATTTGATGCTTGCACTAATGCTGGTGAAAACTTCCTGTTCGATCAAGTCTCTGGCGTTTGCATCTAGATTCTTACAGACGAAAGAACTCCATATATTGTTTTGTGTGTTCCGAATGACTCATCTCAAATGACGTTTTAGTTTTGAAGATTTCATAGATTCGTGACTGAGAACAACTTTGTACAGTGCGCTTTGTTTCTTCTCTATTACATTTCCAGTGATGTTAATGAAGCCGAATTTTAAAAATTCTTCTAAATATTTATGTTTTGTTTCAAATTACTAAGGTTTAGTATACCAGTTGGCGACCCCCCAGAAAGACCTTCGCGACCCCCCTGGGGGTCGCGACCCCCAGGTTGGGAACCCGTGAGTTAAGCAGAATAAGATAATCAAACAAACGCACCTCTGTTCAATGTTGGTAGGTGCCATGCTGCCTACACAGTGTCATAAATGCTATATATCAATTTTCAAGAAATAAAAAGCTAAATTTTAAAAAACATAAACAAATTTCTTTTTATGCTTAGAATTGTGTTGATTATCAAAATGTCAAACTTGAATTGATAAAGAATGTCTATCTGGTATTTTGATTTATCATATAATATTAGCATTTTTTTTTCTGGCAAATGGCCTTGGTCATTTGTTGCATTCGGGCAAGTGTCCATTCAGGAAATCAGTCTTTGGGCAAACGGCATTAGGGCAAGTGTTTTTTGGGAAAACGTCCGGCTCCCAAAAACATTGACATTGATGAAGCAAGAATAAAGAAATAGGACTGGACAACAAAATGTACAGGTACATGGCCCTACCTGCTTATTGAACCAAGGCTGTCCTCACCCTCCTCCTTCTTTATGTCCCTGGACTTGTTGGCTCCAGCAGCTAGGGACAAAACCAGAGACATGATTTTAAACTGACATCTAGGTCAGCACTGTCATTTATATCTGACATCTAGGTCAGCACTGTCATTTCTACCTGACATCTAGGTGAGCACTGTCATTTCTACCTGACATCTAGGTGAGCACTGTCATTTCTACCTGACATCTAGGTCAGCACTGTCATTTCTACCTGACATCTAGGTGAGCACTGTCATTTCTACCTGACATCTAGGTGAGCACTGTCATTTCTACCTGACATCTAGGTCAGCACTGTCATTTCTACCTGACATCTAGGTGAGCACTGTCATTTCTACCTGACATCTAGGTGAGCACTGTCATTTCTACCTGACATCTAGGTCAGCACTGTCATTTCTACCTGACATCTAGGTGAGCACTGTCATTTCTACCTGACATCTAGGTGAGCACTGTCATTTCTACCTGACATCTAGGTGAGCACTGTCATTTCTACCTGACATCTAGGTCAGCACTGTCATTTCTACCTGACATCTAGGTGAGCACTGTCATTTCTACCTGACATCTAGGTGAGCACTGTCATTTCTACCTGACATCTAGGTCAGCACTGTCATTTCTACCTGACATCTAGGTGAGCACTGTCATTTCTACCTGACATCTAGGTGAGCACTGTCATTTCTACCTGACATCTAGGTCAGCACTGTCATTTCTACCTGACATCTAGGTCAGCACTGTCATTTCTACCTGACATCTAGGTGTGTACTGTCATTTCTACGTGGTAATCACAGATGAAGGATAAAAACATGTTTCACACTGTCAAACACAGGATAGAAACATGTTTCACACTGTCAAACATAGGATAAAAACATGTTTCACACTGTCAAACACAGGATAAAAACATGTTCTAAATGTCATCCATCACCAAGACCAGATATCTGCTACCTTTTGGTATCCGCCTCCTGACTGCTACCTTGGTGACCCTCTTCTTCCTCCCACTAGCACCATCCTCTTCCTCTTGCTCATCATCTGCATCATCGCTGCCTTTTTTCTTTTTTTTCCCACCAGAGGCTTTTCTCTCATCAGACTCCATTTCAAAATCCTGTCAGAGGAGGCCAGTGAAAAGAGAACTAATCAACAATATGTCGATGACCTCACAATACCTGACCATGTCAATGACGTCACACTACCTGACCATGTCAATGACCTCACACTACCTGACCATGTCAATGCCATCACACTACCTGACCATGTCAATGATGTCACACTACCTGACCATGTCAATGACATCACACTACCTGACCATGTCAATGCCATCACACTACCTGACCATGTCAATGACCTCAAACTACCTGACCATGTCAATGATGTCACACTACCTGACCATGTCAATGACGTCACACTACCTGACCATGTCAATGACATCACACTACCTGACCATGTCAATGACGTCACACTACCTGACCATGTCAATGATGTCACACTACCTGACCATGTCAATGACGTCACACTACCTGACTACCCCAATGATACTACCAGAGCACTTCTAACCTCATCACCAGAGTCGTCAGTGGGAGGTGCGCTGGCATCAAAATCTTCCTCTTCCTCCTCAGCTTTGACTGATGATGCTACGCTGGAACCTCTGCTGGGGGTGGAGCCTGGGGCTTTCTTCTTAGCTCTAGGGGTGGGGCCAGCTCTAGCTCTCTTAGGTGCTGGTTTTTCAGCCTTAAACACAAAAACAGCGCATTAGCGTTCAGAAATAATTAAAAATTATGCTGCATTATAATTTATAATATTCTGATTCCCTTTTACTAAATTATCTTTTGTTGACATTACTTTTAATGAAATTTGGCTTATAAATCAGATTTATTAGTGACTGAAATCCAATAAATAATATACCGGTCCCACACGCCTTTATGTACTAACAAAGATCTTTGCTACTTCTATTTTTATATTGCTGCATAATTTGTTCATTTTATTTATTGATTTGAACTCAGATCTGCAAGTTATTTAAAATTGTGTTAAATAAAATTAGCTATTACTGTTTGATCAATCAGAAGGCCACACCAGGACCAGAACACAATATGGAACAGGATTTGCTGCCTATTTTTATCAAGGTTTGTGAGTTAAAATAAAACAAAACTCAACAATGCTTAAGAGTTGTACAACAAAATGACATGCAGAATGGTGAAACATTTTACCAGAGAAGATGTGCTTTCTTTTCTTTTTCGTTTCTGGCTCTGTGCTTTTTTTGGGGTCTGAAAATACAAAGTCATTTTTTAATGTAGTGTGTGTTAAAGATCTGAAATTACCAAGTCATATTTTATGGTGTGTGTGGTTATGTGGCCAACACAATTGGTCCTACACAAATGTATTCTGAATAATTTTTTACTAATAGAAAAACATGATTAAAAATGTAACGAGAAGATTGGTCCAAAGTATTTACTTTTTTTCCTTTGACAACGGGAACATCTGCCTGGTGGTCAACATCATCAGCATCAACAACATCATCATCAACAACGACATCATCAACAGGTTGGGTCAAGTCAATGTTTGTTACCTGTGAAAACAACAGCAGCCAATAGGGGGCCCACACAACTCTCCCCACCAGAGCATGGCTACTAGTCAAAGTGTTGCCCCCCCCCCCCCCCCTCCAACATCTGGATTCAGTCACCAATCTTCAACTTTCACCAAAACTACACTTTGACTAGGCCATGAATGCAACTCTAGGCGACAGTGCATCAAGAGTTTGGGCTTGTCACATGCAATCCCTAAGGGAAAATTGACATTCAATTAGTTCAGATAATATTTCTGCTGGTGATCAAGCCACCAAGAAAACTATAATTTACAATCTTTATTTCACAGTCTTTTTGTAACCTATTTGACCCTATCGTTCAAGAAACTAATGGGAACTTGTCAAGTTTCAAAACATTAAAGTGGAGCTTTCTTTCTACACTGGCCTAAAGCGGAGCTTTCTTTCTGCACTGGCCTCTAGTTACATTTTTGTGAGTAGGGAGAGCTAGGTGACATGATGGCAATATAACAATCTGACGGGACTACTGGCTGGATAAGACATGGGTACATGATGAAGCTACTGACCGCTGGTTGAAACACCACATCTGGGTTGTTGATGATTTCCCACAGGCCAGCATTGAAAGCTGTCCTGCTGTTGGGCTTGTGATACTTTTCTTTAAACTTTTCATACGGGTAAATATCTTTGGGACCCAAGAAGGCACTGAAAGATAAAGATACATTTAGATGGTCAATTCAAGAACACATTGAAAGATGCTGTGTAGTGTGCCCCATTAGAATGGCTGTGTAGTGTGTCATGTGCCAGCCCCATTAGAATGGCTGTGTAGTGTGTCATGTGCCAGCCCCATTAGAATGGCTGTGTAGTGTGTCATGTGCCAGCCCCATTAGAATGGCTGTGTAGTGTGTCATGTGCCAGCCCCATTAGAATGGCTGTGTAGTGTGTCATGTGCCAGCCCCATTAGAATGGCTGTGTAGTGTGTCATGTGCCAGCCCCATTAAAATGGCTGTGTAGTGTGTCATGTGCCAGCCCCATTAGAATGGCTGTGTAGTGTGTCATGTGCCAGCCCCATTAAAATGGCTGTGTAGTGTGTCATGTGCCAGCCCCATTAAAATGGCTGCGTAGTGTGTCATGTGCCAGCCCCATTAGAATGGCTGTGTAGTGTGTCATGTGCCAGCCCCATTAGAATGGCTGTGTAGTGTGTCATGTGCCAGCCCCATTAGAATGGCTGTGTAGTGTGTCATGTGCCAGCCCCATTAGAATGGCTGTGTAGTGTGTCATGTGCCAGCCCCATTAGAATGGCTGTGTAGTGTGTCATGTGCCAGCCCCATTAGAATGGCTGTGTAGTGTGTCATGTGCCAGCCCCATTAGAATGGCTGTGTAGTGTGTCATGTGCCAGCCCCATTAGAATGGCTGTGTAGTGTGTAATCAAGGTTTCAAGTTATTTCTTTAAGTATTTAATCTCTCAGAAGTCAATTGTCTTTAAGTGCAGATCAATATGCCCAAAAAGATTGCCTCAATATATTTTTAAATACTTACGTTTCATGCGTTCCATAAAAAAATATGGGATATTTTCCTTTTGGTGCCTTCACCGACCCTTCCTGTATGTAATCAATCTAAACAGAAAAAAAATTAATAAAAACATAGAAATAATTTGAAATATAAATTTTAAAACTGTGATAAATATTTTTAACTGATTATCTTCAATATAAGAAAATATATTTTCAGCCTAATATAATTTCACAGAAGACAGTGTAAGTAAGATCAAACACCTCTAAATAGGAAGACAAAGAGAGGCAACCTACCCGAGCTGGCCAATGGGGATAGCCTTTCATCTTGGCGAATATTTTGTCCCCTGGTTTGTACTGCTCAGTGGCCATGATGATCTATGTTAATTTCTGTTTATAACAACAAAAGAATCTGCTTTTGAATACTTCAGCTGAGAAGGATTATAAGAAATATTTATAGAAATTTATCAGAACCTACAATGGCATACTTTCCTATTTAGATTTACAACTAGTGCACGAATTAGGTATCATTCTCAGCAAATGAAGAAGCAGTTTTTGTCTTTCTGTTTTTCTAGCTTTTTATGACAATGTGCAGCTATATAGGGTGGGGATAAAAATTAGTGGAATCAGAACCACTACTTAGATTTCTATAAAATACAGTTTTAAAATTTGTTAACTCATTTTTTGGCCAAAAAATCCTAGAAAGTGGGTCTGACACCACCCATTCAAATATAAGCCAACCAAGATCAAATACATGTCTAGCAGTGTACCTCACGTCAGGTGATTTTTTCAAAATATTTAGGGCATGTAATGGGAAATATGAGCAAATAAATTCCTCATAGAAAATATTTGTAAAAGTTAAAAGTTTGAAGATGGTTGACTGGAGCAGGTTATTGATTTTAAATATCCTGCCTCGCCATTGCTTGGTTTAAGATAAAAATGATCACCAATGAATAATTAGAATGCGTAAAGCATATTCTATTTTTAGATATGACACTAAAAAAATTCATAAATCTAGCCAAATGATTTGATTTTTGCAAATTATCCACATACCCAGGGTTAATATAGTTTATATAGCAATGGTATATAGGAATTATAAGATTTGAAAAAAAGAATACAGAGAGATACTAATACTAAAGTGCCACTTGCGAGACAAACAAAGAAATGAGGTCCTAAAGAACACCTGACAATTCTTAATTGACAGACTTAACTAGAAGGCAGATTCTAGCCAGAAAAGGATATGCATGCGCAATGGAGAGAAACTGTGACTTGCATTCGCTGGGATGTTTTTATGGTACTGCGCATGTGTGTGTTTACAAACCAACCGCAGGGTAATCTCACGATATAGCGAAGGAAATTATCTGGTAATTTTTGTTGAGTTTCGGTAACATTCGTTACTGTAAACCATAGTTTATTTGACTGGTGTAATACAAATAAAGTCAAGTGCATTACATTAAATTTTTAACTTAATTTAATGTTTAATTGACAGAAAATAAGCAACAATTAGGCCTAGTAGGCCTAAATCTAAATATTATTAATAAAGTTGAGTGTAGTAATTAATGTTTTTTTAAGAAACACAGAAAAAAAAACTTGCAGAAGATATGCAACAACTAGATCTAGATCTTGTAAAATAAGATGATTAGATTTAATAAAGTTAAAAGTAGTAAGAAGAACTAGAACAATGTTTAGTAGCAGCACTAATTGGCACATACACTTAAAATAATTAGAAATACAAAATAATTAGGCCTAGAGCCTAGCAAAACAGTATTTAAAATGCAACTAAAATCAATCCATGCACATTTTTAAACATTATGTATTTAAAATAATATGGCAGCAAATAAATGATGGTTTACAGTAATTTCTGTGGTTTCCAGAACTGCTCGACAGAATACGCCATGGTTTGTTTTTTTGCTGCTGTACAATTCCGGAATAATAACAGACGCTTTATCGAAATTTTACCAACCGCAGAACCCTAGCTCAGCTATTAAGGTCACTGCGCATGTGCAGAACTATCTTTTTACCGACCAGGTGGAGATGCTGGGGCAAAAAATCTTTTTCTGAGTAGTCACTTCGTTTTTTATATCGAAGTGTCTACACGGAAGAAGATTTTTCTCCCCAAAGTCTCCACTTAGTCGGCAAAAGATAGCTCTGCGCATGCGCAGTGACCTATGGCTAGGGTTAGGGCTAGAATGAGGGATAGGGTTAAGGATAGGATTAGGGTTGGTGTTAGGGTTCTGCGGTTGTAAACACATGCATGCGCAGTACCATCAAAATCATCGCCGCTAAGGCAAGTCGTAGTTTCTCTCCATTGCGCATGCGTATCGCATGCATATCTTATTCCGGCTAGAATTGGCCTTTTTATATTCAACCTATTCATAGCAGTAGCAGTTTCAACTGGGAAAAGGCATATTGGCCTACTCTCAGTTGACTAGTTAAAATATTGATGGAATTGAGTTTTTATTTTATTATTTTAATCCACTTTTTAATCCCAGAACAGAAGTTCTTAAAATCTTTAGTCACAAAACTCTGAAAACTGGTCACAAAACAATTCGAAGTTCAGAACAAAAACGTGACGACTAGATCTAGATAAAAATGTAAGTACAGTTTTTCCATATTGTTCAATAAACAGGTAAACAAGTAAAACCAATACCTTAAAGATATACGTGTTTGCGCTGTAGAAAAGTTCTACAACATTGAAAAATTATGCAGAACTTAGCCTAAAGACGCCATATTGCAATTCTAGATCTATATTTGATTGCCAGTCTTTGCTAACATTTGGAGCTATTTTGTATTTTTAACACAAAAGAATTTTAAATTGAATACAGTTTGTAATAAATTTTCATGCCATTTTTTCTACAAATAAACAACTGGTAACTGTTAGTTTTTATAATATGAGTTTAATCAAATGATTCAGTATTTCATTAGCAATATTTTTATTTCACTTCAAACAAACTGGCTTTGTGGCACATCCCAAACATGCTTAGCATAAAAAGTAGTTTCCAACAGTACAAGAGTTTCAGCAGCTTAGAAATGGAAACTTATTCTAAATTTCTGGATTTAGTTTCTAAATCTATATCTAGATCTAGATCTATTTCTAGATTCTAGCATTAGCACTCTAGAATCTAGATTTTTAAAACTAATATAACAAGCTAAAGAACATGATAGTTATATTAGTTTATATTATAAACTAGATCACTCTTTTACTCTTTTACTTTTTACTTTTACTCTTTTAATGAACATTTTAATAATGGACACCAGCGAGTTGACGAGATTCCTTCCATAATGTTGTTGACATGGAATAAAAAACGTGCGATTTAGACCGTAAAAAAATAAAAACTTAAGCCTAAAATTAATTTAGAAATTTTATATTTTTAGAATAAATTCTATAAAAGTTGCAAATCCAGAGAACTTGAAAATAATTTGTTGAGTTTAAGGCTACATTTCTATTTATTTTCATCAAGCCTAAGTTATAACCGGATGTTTCACTTTCGTAAGACAAATATTGATTGGCTGTACAGTAACTTAGTGATCGATAACGATTTGTTTACAAAACTTTGCAGATCAAGTTTTTAAATAACAATGCAAATTTAAAACCCCATGACCTAGTTTTCTATTTTTAGCTTACAATGTGTACAATAAAATTTATGGCGGCCTATCCAATAGCAGGATGCCATTGTTTATGTCGCCATTACACGTGAAAACCAAAATTGTTTTTGCTTTTTTTTTTATTTTTATTTAGTTACCGAAATTTAAATTAATTTATGGACCTCTCAAATACCTTTGAGACTTTTCTTCCTGGTGTCCATTAGTAAAATTAGTAGGCCTAATAAATAATTACTAGATTCTAATAGATCTAGTCTAGTTACTAATTAGCTAGATCTAGATTTAGATCTGTCTGGATTCTGTAGTCTGTAGTGACTAGAGTAGAAAGAATGAAGAATCAAGATCTGCACAGTTTAAAATTTATAAATTTAAAAAAAGACGAGTAGGCATATTGATGAAAATCTCAACAACAACAAAAATAAACTCTGAGCAAATAAATTCCAAATAGAAAATATATGTAAAAGTTAAAATTAAAAGCTTGACAGTTGACTGGAGCTGGTTATGGATAGTTACTGTTACTAGTTACAATAGTTAGTAGATCTAGATCTAGTTACCAATCAAAATTTACTAATATTTTTAGTGGAAATGCATATTCGGATGCACATTAATTACTAATTAGCCTTAATTTTCTCTATTTCCGATTTTTCAAAAAATGCATGTGAATTTATAAAGTACTATTATGGCAAATTGGATGCCCTTTCGGAATATACAACTTTGGCGGCTGTAAAATTATTTTTTCATGGAAAAAAATAATTTTAAAATTTTAAATTGAACATTTTTAGCATTTAATTATATTATACAGCTGGTAAAGTTATACCATCTTACAGAGCTACCATTCTTCTTTCAAAATCAGTGGTTTCTAATTGCGTATGTGTTATGAGGTCGGACCGCCGCGCGATGCCGCAACGCGACCAAAAATTTTTAAAACCGGCTTAAATTTTTCGGCTCATTTTGAATACCTAGTACTAATAATATCCCGCTCTATTATACACAGGTTTTTTGGCGTTTACTTAGTGCGCAATTCTTTTTTCTACGAGATTCTATTCCATTTTTAAAAGTTTAATTAAAAAGTATTAAAAAGCATGACTATATCCTGAGGTGCCATCCCCAGTATTGTTATATAAGAATATTCAAGAAAGTTTAGGGGAGATCACTCCCTGTTTATTTTCTTTCATAATTTGATTTGTTATGTTGTCTAGACGAAATAAAATGTTATTGTGAGTGAAAATGAGTTGACATTTTTTAGAATTAATGAGAAAAGTATAAAGAAGGTAATTTTTTGGTATTTTTTTTGCTGCAATTATTGTATCTAAATTGCTTTTCTCCAATGTGCCTACCTACGCATATTTGTATGCATTATTCAAATCTACACAAACTATACTATGCACAAATTATAATCATAATAAAAAGTATTTGTTTCTTTCCTACATTTATTTTCATACAAGTCGTACATGTCCCCTTCTCACTTTCACTTTTGACATCATGTAATGACCTATTTTTATCATCCGCTGTTGAACTTGCTGTTAGATTAGCCTCCCTCTACATTGTTATTAATTTCCAATGCTTTTTTCGTATCAAGACAAGTTAACTCGGGACGCGCGGCTCACAGAAGACTTTATATATGAATTTTATGATGCAGAGTTAACTCGCGATGCATTGTTAAGCCTAAGATTTCATTAGTTGATGTATAAACATTAGTGACGTCACTGTTTTATGCATTCTTTTTCACAACTGTAAACGCTTTTCCGGTTGCATAATTAAAACTTTTTTTACATTCGAATACGCATTTATTTTTTATTTTTCTTCTTTAAATAAAATTGTGGTTATACATTTAAAACATCTACCATATTATTTTCAACAAAAGTCCGTAGCAAGTTCTCCATATATTGCTGAAGATTCTGACGTGATATCCTGCGAAAATATTTTGCGGAGAGAGAGAGAGAGAAGTGTGCACATGGGCTTTTATATATTAGGATATACAAATCTAAATCTAGGCCTGTTGCCTATATTAATATTTTTCTAAAAAATGTTTTTTTAAAAATCATAATTGGATATAATTATAACCAGGCTTAGATTATGTTTGGAAAATATCAAGTTATTCCCCTTTGTCCAATATACACTCCTATATTCGCGCCAAGGTTTCTGGCATAAGTATTTCTTTACCAGAGGGGCGGCGCTCTGGTCATAGTGGCATGTGAGGGTCCTTATTTCCACAGCTGCTACCTTGGATATTGGGGTCTGCTGATTGGGTGTCCTGCACATGTGATCATTTGATTTTTTTAAGAATGCCTTACTACAACTACAAGTTCAATAGATGATTACACCGAACCAGGGGTGACTCTGCTCCCTTGCTGAAGTGTAACCAGTGGATCCCATTAGTGCCTTGTGATGCACTTACACTTTGGCTGTCAACGAGGTGTGTTCTGCCTCACCCTTACATAGTGTGATCGGTGTGCACTTTTCACACTGCACTTACCAGTGAATCTGGGAAGTAATCAAGTAGTGTGGACAAACTCACACCCCGAAAACTAAGATCCTAAAAATGTAGTGCAGACATTTTTATCAGTTAAATAAGTGCTAATTAAGAGAAACTTGTACATTTAGTATCTAGGAATAGCTGATGGCCCAAAATGCTACCAGATGCTGATATAGGGACAGCACTGCTGGCCTTAGTAAATTACTTGATATTTAATCATCTTTTCCAGGGTCCTAAGAATCATTAGATTGCTTACATTTTTCTTTTACCTCACCATGTAGTGCATTTAAAAAGAAATTCTTATGCAATGATTCTCTGTTATTAGAATCATAGAACAGAAGCCAGAAATTTTGAGCCTCCATCTGAATTTTAAAAAGTTTTTGACTCTTAAAGTTTAAAGACTTAATATCACTTTGTGTTGCGAATGAAACCTCTATTTATTGTTAACAAAAGAAGCCAGAAAAAACTGAGCCTCTGATGTTACAATCATAGAACAGAAGCCAGAATGAACATATAGATCTCCAGGCTATTATAAGTATAACTAAAAATTACCAGAAACTTTCTGGGAAAGCAACTTTTAAATAGTTTGCATCTAACACAACAAGTCATAAGGCCAACATGTTTCTAATGCTGATTGACAAGTGCTAGGCTCTTATGGCACTTTGACTGACTTCCTTTTATTTACTCAGTTTCAGGAGAACAAAAATCTTTTCTACAACTTCATTTCAGTATTCCATAAGTATTCCTCATTTAAACCTAAACAATATACCTACAAATTTATAATAATTTGGTGCATAGTTCTTTAGATAGCAAACAATTACATGATAATTGTGTACATGTTAAAAAAAGATTTCTGCAAGATCATATTCTGTCAAAGTTTACTTCAGCGAATCAATAATTGGAATAATTAGGACTTATTTATCATATTTATTTTTACAGACCCTAAGCCAACATAGGAATAATCTGAAGGTTTGTATGTAGCAATGCAATTTGTTTCATTCTGAGCTATCCTTCTGACAGCTCTGGATGGCCTGACTCAACAATTTCCAGTTAGATCCAGCTCAGACTTGAGGAGGGATGAAGGTTGTGACTGACTAGCAAATTCCAAACAAAATGAAACAACAATCTCAGATTGATAAACATTTATTCCTTCGTTACTGGCTAATATATTTTCAATGACCTGTACAAATAAAGCATACCAAAAACACAGGCAACAAATAATGTGGGCAACAAATTCAATCTCTGGTTACACTAGCTCTGGTTTACATATGGAATGACCTTGTGTTGACCTGTGGTATAGCTACAAGAATTGACCAATCTACACCACCTGTGGTATAGCTACAAGAATTCACCAATCTACACCACCTGTGGTATAGCTACAAGAATTCACCAATCTACACCACCTGTGGTATAGCTACAAGAATTCACCAATCTACACCACCTGTGGTATAGCTACAAGAATTCACCAATCTACACCACCTGTGGTATAGCTACAAGAATTGACCAATCTACACCACCTGTGGTATAGCTACAAGAATTCACCAATCTACACCACCTGTGGTATGGCTACAAGAATTCACCTACCTACACCTGTAAGTTACACAACAAATATATTTCTGCCATTTGATTTAGACAGAAACATTTTCTCACCAGACCAATAACCAGTACATTTTAACATCATTTTAAAATGTACACTATGTACATACAAAGAGTTCTTTCAATAAATAAAGCGATAATGTAAATAGTAAAATTCCCTTTTTCAAACCTGACGGTCTATAGGGCAAGTGAAGTACAGTTCACTTGTTTCTGTGACCTCGGCATATGAAGAGATAGTGTGGTCAGTACTATGCTCAGCCGCCTTTACATCAGAGTTGGGTGGACTTAGGGACAGTCTACTGACTTGAACCCAGATTCGAACTCGAGACTTACGGGTTAGCAGTCCAGCTTTCTACTGCTAGACCACTGTAAGAAGACAGCCCACTGGATCTCCAGCCTAGTCCAATCTAGAAACTGTTGATAAAATGTCAGTCTTTTCATCTAAACATTCTATTAACTTAATTGTTCATTTTCATCATTGATTAGGATTTAATTTCTAATGGCTGCATCAGATTGATCTTTTTGAAGAGTAATTGAGTCAGTAATGTTGATTGAATAGTTTAGCTACAGTGTTCATGTGTTCTCTAGAGTAGAATTACACAATGCCACAAGATCAAAGTATATCTCAAATCTCAGTGCTGTACATAACCACTTTACAAGGGACAAAACTCTGCACAATTATCAAGGGAGACAGACAAATGACTACATTCAAATGATAACATGAAGTTATAAAAGTTGGATTGATTCATTAAGTAAATACAGTTTTAAGTTCAACCCAATCCACCTAGTGAAATGAGAGAGCACTTGTTTTATTGTAGCCATCAAAGGCTGACCATGGGTATGTAGTTCACAACCTTGGGATTAAGATCAGGACCAAATGGCTGGTAGACCTGGGGGGGGGGGGGGATGGATACATAGGTTCAACAACAAAAGTATTTTAATGTACACTCACAATGTTTTCAAAAATTTAAGTCGTGTATGTTACAGTTTTGCTTTGTGTCAATGTTATTAAATGACCAAAGACTGTCTTCTTTATTGTCAACTTAAACATCAATAAACCCCAGGTGACCTTATGTAACCACTACTGGCCATCAGGTGACCTTATGTAACCACTACTGGCCATCAGGTGACCTTATGTAACCACTACTGGCCATCAGGTGACCTTATGTCACCACTACTGGCCATCAGGTGACCTTATGTCACCACTACTGGCCATCAGGTGACCTTATGTAACCACTACTGGCCATCAAGTGACCTTATGTCACCACTACTGGCCATCAGGTGACCTTATGTAACCACTACTGGCCATCACGTGACCTTATGTCACCTCTATTGGCCATCAGGTGACCTTATGTCACCACTACTGGCCATCTTGTGACCTTATGTCACCACTATTGGCCATAAACTACAGCTGATACTAACACTGACACCATAGTTATCCAACTGTCCAGAAAAAGTCTAGATTGACATGTACATCTCAAATGTCAGTATTCACACACACAAATTGCATATTTATGATGTAAAAAAAATGCAATGCAAAAATGCCAAATGAATATGCGGTCTGTAAAACAGAGAAACCAATAATTTACATTACAAGCATAAAAAAATGTTCTAGTGACAATGGCACCAAAGCTGGGTGCTGTTGTTTGGAGATGCTCAAAGTTTCAGTCAATTGTAGGCTTTATTATTTTTAAATATTCGGCTATCAGACTATCAGAAGTTTAAAATTATCGTTGTAATGAATTGTTACTTGGAATCATTTCCTTTCTTATCAATTTGAGGTGAAAAATATATGTATGATGGGATAAAATGTGTTATTGTAAGGGGGGGGGGGGGGGGGGGGCAATGCCAGAAAAATGTGAAAACCACCATTCTAGAGAGTAGCAAAGAATAAATGTATATCCCTTAGACTTAGACTGGGATGAGACAGGTGGACAATACACATACACTAAATGAAAGGGACTAAATTACAGGCTGTAACTCAGCACACATGTATTTTATACATGTTTCATACAAGGTTCCATTATTCACTCTTCAAAATTCTAAGAGACTCAAACAAATTACCTCATTAAAAATATAATAAATCTAAAAAATACTGGTATTAGACTTAAACGTTAAATCAAGAGATTACCTTCTTTCTAGTGAAACCCCAGAGTCAAATCTATGAAACCCAAACCCTGTATATCCTGAGAGAACCCAGCATGATAAATTTAAACAGGCTAAGGTAGTAAGAAGACTACCACCATACAGCACACATAGTCACACCATACAGCACATGCAGTCACAACAAAGGTTTGTTTTATCAGTTTTTATGTACAGAGTTTCACAGCCTTTTAATGGAAGGTTTATTTAATGAGTTTTTCCCAGCAACATTGTTACCCATGAATATTTCAGCAGTGTTTAGTGAACTTGTCACTATTGACACAGACGAACATTATGCTGAGTTTGCATAACGAATAACAAGACAAGCAATCACCGCTAGCCATATATTTTATACAATCTGAATCATCTGAATTTTAAAGTTTTTGACTCTAGTGTTGTGAATGAAATCTGTATTTATTGTTAGCAATTCAAAGAGTCAATGAACAAAGCTTTCATTCATGCAGTAGATCACTAGAGCCCAGTCCAGGGGACAACAGCTGACATGAATTCAGACCAGAAACAAAACAGATCTTACAAAAACAAGGTCCTGACATATTTTCTCAACAAATATGGAACCAGTACTTCTAAATGCTGAACATGAATGACCACAGAGCTAACAATGTCTTTGGTACAACAATGTGTTCTTCTATACCCAGCGCCCGCACACTTAATGAATGCATTCCAGCAAGAGGTGTGGCCCAATCACAACTCAAACAAGTCGTCAAGATTTCTGGCCCAATCACAACTCAAACAAGTCGTCGTTCCTTTGCTCCAGGCTCTCAATGGTGGACCTGACGTGACGATTGTTAGTGCGAGAGCGGATGACCAACACCGGCGAGCCGTTGTCCTCCTCCTCGGACATGAAACGTCCGCGTCTGTCGTTGGTTGAGTTGACTGATGAGTTACTGTCCCTGCGTGACTGGGTTGAGCCTTTCCGTGGTGGGAGGGCCAGTGGGTTGGCGTCTATGATACCTTCTAAGTTTCTGAAAGTAGCAAGACAAGTGTTGAGAGGTGGGGAGTCAAATTTACTGCTTGATGATATGGTTGGCTGTCATGTTCAATTGGTTGTCATGTTAATATGGTTTATTGTGGTGGTGTTACAGTCAAATGTGGTGGTGTTAAGGTCAATTGTCATGTTGATATGGTTGATTGTGGTGGTCTTACGGTCAAATGTGGTGGTGTTAAGGTCAATTGTCATGTTGATATGGTTGATTGTAACTGATTGTGATGATATGATTGGCATAAAAAGCTCGTCTCTAACAGACAGTCTGAATGATGATAGAAATTACTGTATTAGAAGATTACCTTTTTTAAAAAAAAATGTAAAAATTAGTTTATTAAATTAAATCTCTGTTAAATTTTAAATAATCAGGGATCTCTTTTAATTTTAAATTTCCAGATCAAAATTTGAGTTGATTACTGTCCACTTGTTGAAAAATGAAAACTACTCAAATATAGCATCAAATAATCACATTTTGTGCATAGAAAGAAGAAAACAATAAAAACTCTAGAATGTGAATGTATACAAGGAAAAAAAAACTAGTGGCAAAAAATGCAATTAAAAAAAGCAAGTAGAAAGCAACAGTTTTTTGTCCTACATTAAAAAATATAAATGACATTTAAAATATTGAACAGCTCATTTCTATAAACAATCAATCAATTCATATTTATTATCTTAATTTAAGACTCCTGGATCATTATAGTTAAAGCTTAATTTTTAAAAATGTTGTTTTATTTATCAGATGAAGTTATTGAATGTATAATTATCAGATGCATCAAATGTTGTCACCCTCACACACCCTCACTCAACCTTGGCTTATCCCACCACACAATACCAAGGCCTTCACAATTGTTGGACTGATTTCTTTCTTCTGCAGGTCACCAGCAAACCTATGGTGTTCTACACAATGTCTCACCTCTGCTGGCCATAAAGCCTAATACACTGGCTCAAACTACTTTTCTACTACATCATGTACACCAGGTTCAAATAATGGCTGTGTTTCAACTTCTCAATTTCTAAATATTTATTTATACGGGCAAAAAAAAAAAAAAAAAAAAAACTATAGAAAAAGTTTTTAAAAATTTGAACATTCAATTATGAATAGACCCTAATAAAATTCGAGCTATATAAATAATAATGTATTTGCTCCAAGAAAATAAAAATTAAATGCAATATTATTTTATATATTATAAGAGAATCTTTTTAAAGAAAAATACAAAATTATATAATTTATGATTAATTAAATGCATTCGTTTTTTTTATTTTTCTTAGGAAAAAAATGTGATTAATTAAAAGTTTTTTTTATAGGTCAATTTTTATTAGATTTGATTTTATTTATAATATGCCCCCCAAAAATAGAAAAAAAATTAGTAAATGTAAAAATATTCAACTAATTATATGTAGTTTTATTACATGGTGGTAATATGGTAATCTTGTTAATGGCATCAGTAAATAAAGCAGTATATTTTTTTTTTGTAAACAAAGTTAAGATATTTAAGTGGTGCTATTTCTTGATTATGATCATTAGCTACAGTCAGTTCTTACTAAAACTGTCTACACCAACAGCATGGGCACCCACAGGTTGGGGGGGGGGGGGGTGCTGGGTCAGTGAAGTGACCAGTAGCCTTGTATTTACATGTAGAGGTGACTTCCCTGGTCCATGCTGTGGGTACCCAAAATGAAATCCCTACTTGGGTTATGAGTTAATTCTAGTGTGTGATTATGATGCAATGGTCTAGGATGTATGATGCCACCTTCCCCAGAAGCCTTACAATTTTGTTACACCCTCAGCTATGCTAGCATACGGTTTCAGTTTCAACATAATCATCGTGTGCAAGTTGGTAGGAGGAGGTGGAGGAGCGAGCTGACGAGGTACTCAGTCGAACTTGAGAGGCCACGCTCAATCCAGCACTGAAACAAAGTGGACACTGGTCACAAGATGTTGCTAGACATGGTGGTCAGGTCAGTCAACAGCTGTCTGCTTGCTACAGGGACCAGACTCGTGTCAACAGGGCCCAGGTCAATGGAGCCAGGAAATGAGTGAAAAGTTGGCTTCAAGCAGGAGATGAGTAAATGCTAGTGGTGGATTGGCTTCTATGACTCAATGTTATTGTTGGACTGGATTTGTTTTTTAGTTGTTTAACAAGGGTAAACCTGGGTACACTAATGAATTGTTTAAACTAATTGAGTGTATGTTATAATAGCCTCCATTAATAACGAGGTTCCAACTACTAGGTCAGATAAACTAAAACTTTGATAGTTGATACACATGTGGGGAACAGGACAAGTGGTGACACAGCTTCTATGTGGGGAACATGTTAAGAGGTGACAACTGCTATAACTGTAAGGGGAACAGGACAAGTGGTGACACAACTGCTATATGGGGAACAGGACAAGTGGTGACACAGCTGCTATATGGGGAACAGGACAAGTGGTGACACAGCTGCTATATGGGGAACAGGACAAGTGGTGACACAGCTGCTATATGGGGAACAGGACAAGTGGTGACACAGCTGCTATATGGGGAACAGGACAAGTGGTGACACAGCTGCTATATGGGGAACAGGACAAGTGGTGTCACAGCTGCTATATGGGGAACAGGACAAGTGGTGACACAGCTGCTATATGGGGAACAGGACAAGTGGTGACACAGCTGCTATATGGGGAACAGGACAAGTGGTGTCACAGCTGCTATATGGGGAACAGGACAAGTGGTGACACAGCTGCTATATGGGGAACAGGACAAGTGGTGACACAGCTGCTATGTGGGGAACATGACAAGTGGTGACACAACTGCTATAACTGTAAGGGGAACAGGACAAGTGGTGACACAACTGCTATAACTGTAAGGGGAACAGGACAAGTGGTGACACAACTGCTATAACTGTAAGGGGAACAGGACAAGTGGTGACACAACTGCTATAACTGTAAGGGGAACAGGACAAGTGGTGACACAACTGCTATAACTGTAAGGGGAACAGGACAAGTGGTGACACAACTGCTATAACTGTAAGGGGAACAGGACAAGTGGTGACACAACTGCTATAACTGTAAGGGGAACAGGACAAGTGGTGACACAACTGCTATAACTGTAAGGGGAACAGGACAAGTGGTGACACAACTGCTATGTGGGGAACAGGACAAGTGGTGACACAACTGCTATGTCAGGAACAGGACAAGTGGTGACACAACTATGTGGTAAATCACAATCAGAGCAGAGCTGACAGTGCAAGATGCTACAATGACACAGCATGATCGGAAAATGTCACTGAGGTCAAAATGAGATGACAACATGCAGTGACATTTGTTCATAAGACCTCATTACAATGTTCACTATTACAATTCCTGTTGGCCTGCTAGTGGTATGTTCAACCAATGACTCCAACATTGTGGGCCAAAGTCCAGGCAATTTGTCTGGCCACTTGGCTGGCCCAAACTTCCATTCAACCAAATCACCCTCACAAAACATTCATGGCATTATTGGAGCACAACAACTATTTGAAACCATGAGTAATCTAGTTCACAGGGAGGGGTGGGGCAGGGGGTGGATACACAAGATCAATCTAACAGCTGACTAGACAAAGTTTGATGAGTGTCACCATAGTGACAGATCTAACTTCTCTCTAGCCAATATGTGACAAGTTGAAACATCTGGGAACATGTGCAACTTTGGTGATACAATTATGTTTCTCTCTAGAGGAATATGCTTTTTGTTTTAATAAATCAATAAAATGTAAACACACTTCTAAGGTTGTAAGCTAGAAATTTTCTCAAATATCTTGCTAAGATTTTTTTAAAGTTTTAAAAATTTGGCAGGTGAGAAAAAAGCACAATAAAAAGCAGAAAAAAGTGATTAAATGTAAACAAAATGGGCATTGGCTGCGTTTTTTGTGAGCATTTGACATTTTTTTAAAAGAGAAAAAAAAATGTAGTCAGTCAAGTAAAGATTTATCCCCACAGTAAGAGGATTGGGGTCATCCATTTAAGACGTCCACAAAGTTTGCAAATTTCAGTCCCCTCCATGTCCATTTTGCACAAATTTCTCCCCCCCCCCCCCCCATTTTAGAATTTTAATGTTAAATTTAACATTTTAGAACTTCAATGTTAGATTACATATTTTAGAATGTTAAATTTAACATTTTAGAACTTCAATGTTAGATTACATATTTTAGAATGTTAAATTTAACATTTTAGAACTTCAATGTTAGATTACATATTTTAGAATGTTAAATTTAACATTTTAGAACTTCAATGTTAGATTACATATTTTAGAATGTTAAATTTAACATTTTAGAACTTCAATGTTAGATTACATATTTTAGAATGTTAAATTTAACATTTTAGAACTTCAATGTTAGATTACATATTTTAGAATGTTAAATTTAACATTTTAGAACTTCAATGTTAGATTACATATTTTAGAATGTTAAATTTAACATTTTAGAACTTCAATGTTAGATTACATATTTTAGAATGTTAAATTTAACATTTTAGAACTTCAATGTTAGATTACATATTTTAGAATGTTAAATTTAACATTTTAGAACTTCAATGTTAGATTACATATTTTAGAATGTTAAATTTAACATTTTAGAACTTTAATGGCCCTATACCCTCCCCAGATTGCTGCCACCTCCCCACCCCTCCACCCAGCAAGCCTAACAGTACATTACTTTCTGCCCAACTCATTAATTCTGTTTTTCTGTAAACAACAAGACAAGGTTGGATTACATTATTTACATCTGACAGGCAGACAAGACATGTTGAGAGCAGAAAGTAAAGCTACATGGAGCCAACTACCAGCACTAGCAGGGCTGCTGAGTCAGGGAGTCAGGGAAGTTTCTTGTCTAGGGAGTCAGGGAAGTTTCTTGTCTAGGGAGTCAGGGAAGTTTCTTGTCTAGGGAGTCAGGGAAGTTTCTTGTCTAGGGAGTCAGGGAAGTGTCTTGTCTAGGGAGTCAGGGAAGTTTCTTGTCTAGGGAGTCAGGGAAGTTTCTTGTCTAGGGAGTCAGGGAAGTTTCTTGTCTAGGGAGTCAGGGAAGTGTCTTGTCTAGGGAGTCAGGGAAGTGTCTTGTCTAGGGAGTCAGGGAAGTTTCTTGTCTAGGGAGTCGGGGAAGTTTCTTGTCTAGGGAGTCAGGGAAGTGTCTTGTCTAGGGAGTCAGGGAAGTTTCTTGTCTAGGGAGTCAGGGAAGTTTCTTGTCTAGGGAGTCAGGGAAGTTTCTTGTCTAGGGAGTCAGGGAAGTGTCTTGTCTAGGGAGTCAGGGAAGTGTCTTGTCTAGGGAGTCAGGGAAGTTTCTTGTCTAGGGAGTCGGGGAAGTTTCTTGTCTAGGGAGTCAGGGAAGTGTCTTGTCTAGGGAGTCAGGGAAGTTTCTTGTCTAGGGAGTCAGGGAAGTTTCTTGTCTAGGGAGTCAGGGAAGTTTCTTGTCTAGGGAGTCAGGGAAGTGTCTTGTCTAGGGAGTCAGGGAAGTGTCTTGTCTAGGGAGTCAGGGAAGTTTCTTGTCTAGGGAGTCGGGGAAGTTTCTTGTCTAGGGAGTCAGGGAAGTTTCTTGTCTAGGGAGTCAGGGAAGTTTCTTGTCTAGGGAGTCAGGGAAATTTCTTGTCTAGGGAGTCAGGGAAGTTTCTTGTCTAGGGAGTCAGGGAAGTTTCTTGTCTAGGGAGTCAGAGAAGTTTCTTGTCTAGGGAGTCAGGGAAATTTCTTGTCTAGGGAGTCAGGGAAGTTTCTTGTCTAGGGAGTCAGGGAAGTTTCTTGTCTTGGGAGTCAGGGAAGTTTCAATCTTGGGAGTCAGGGAAGTTTCTGGTCTTGGGAGTCAGGGAAGTTTCTGGTCTAGGGAGTCAGGGAAGTTTCTGGTCTAGGGAGTCAGGGAAGTTTCCGGTCTTGGGAGTCAGGCCACTTTCTGGTCTGAGCCAGTTTTGTGTCTGATGTGGTTACCTCAGCAACCCTGCTGTATACATGAGAAGGTTGACCAGAAGACAGAAGCAAGCAAATCTGATATAGGTAAAAAAAAAAAAAAAACAACTTGCTTGTCACACTCAGCCTAGCATGGAGAAAAGTAGAGGAAAAATGTATTTGATGAAGACTAATATTAAAATGGGTTCATGAGTGAATATCGTAAGGTTTGGGTCAAGCATGTGCAAACTGAAGTAGGTTAGATCTGCCCAAAGATCTAAGAGAACAGACAAGAGTGCTGTGGTATGGGGGCAGGGAGGGGGGGTGGAATACTGCACTAGCTTTATGCTCAGACTACATTTGTAGTTGGTCTGATAAAAAGGGGGCAGGGGGGGGGGGGGTGGAATACTGCACTAGCTTTCTGCTCAGACTACATTTGTAGTTGGTCTGATAAAAAGGGGGCAGGGGAGGGAGGGGGGGGTGGAATACTGCACTAGCTTTATGCTCAGACTACATTTGTAGTTGGTCTGATAAAAAAGGGGTAGATAAGGGGTGGGGGTGGAACCAGTCACTACCTACCAAGCCCCAGGACAAATGTCCTATCAACCTCCAGGTTGACATCTATGTGTTGACCACAAGTGAAGAAACCACCCACCCCCACCCCTCCCTGCATACACTGAGCTGGCAGGATTAATGTTTGTCTACCTGAATGAGGTCAACTTGCTGTTACAGTCTCAAGTCAGGACAAATCTAAATACAACACAGATATGGCCTCACAGTGACGTGTGGGCCAGCTATGTGTGGGCCAGCTATGTGTGGGCCAGCTATATATGGGATAGCTATGTGTGGGTCAGCAATGTGTGGGCCAGCAATGTGTGGGCCAGCTTATGTGTGGGCCAGCTATAATGTGTGGGCCATCTATGTGTGGGCCATCTATGTGTGGACCAGCCATGTGTGGGCCAGCTATGTGTGGGCTAGCTATAATGTGTGGGCCAGCTATGTGTGGACCAGCTATAATGTGTGGGCCAGCAATGATGTGTGGGCCAGCTATGTGTGGGCCAGCAATGATGTGTGGGCCAGCTATAATGTGTGGGCCAGCAATAATGTGTGGGCCAGCAATGATGTGTGGGCCAGCTATAATGTGTGGGCCAGCTATAATGTGTGGGCCAGCTATGTGTGGGCCAGCTATGTGTGGGCCAGCTATAATGTGTGGGCCAGCTATGTGTGGGCCAGCTATAATGTGTGGGCCAGCTATAATGTGTGGGCCAGCTATAATGTCTGGGCCAGCTATGTGTGGGCCAGCTATGTGTGGGCCAGCTATAATGTGTGGGCCAGCTATGTGTGGGCCAGCTATGTGTGGGCCAGCTATAATGTGTGGGCCAACTATAATGTGTGGGCCAGCTATGATGTGTGGGCCAGCTATGTGTGGGCCAGCTATGTGTGGGCCAGCTATGTGTGGACCAGCTATAATGTGTGGGCCAGCAATAATGTGTGGGCCAGCAATGATGTGTGGGCCAGCTATGTGTGGGTCAATGATGTGTGGGTCAATGATGTGTGGGCCAGCTATAATGTGTGGGCCAGCTATAATGTGTGGGCCAGCTATGTGTGGGCCAGCTATGTGTGGACCAGCTATAATGTGTGGGCCAGCAATAATGTGTGGGCCAGCAATGATGTGTGGGCCAGCTATGTGTGGGCCAGCAATGATGTGTGGGCCAGCTATAATGTGTGGGCCAGCAATAATGTGTGGGCCAGCAATGATGTGTGGGCCAGCTATGTGTGGGCCAGCTATAATGTGTGGGCCAGCTATAATGTGTGGGCCAGCTATGTGTGGGCCAGCTATAATGTGTGGGCCAGCTATGTGTGGGCTAGCTATAATGTGTGGGCCAGCTATAATGTGTGGGCCAGCTATAATGTGTGGGCCAGCTATGTGTGGGCCAGCTATGTGTGGGCCAGCTATGTGTGGGCCAGCTATAATGTGTGGGCCAGCTATGTGTGGGCCAGCTATAATGTGTGGGCCAGCTATGTGTGGGCCAGCTATGTGTGGGCCAGCTATAATGTGTGGGCCAACTATAATGTGTGGGCCAGCTATGATGTGTGGGCCAGCTATGTGTGGGCCAGCTATGTGTGGGCCAGCTATGTGTGGACCAGCTATAATGTGTGGGCCAGCAATAATGTGTGGGCCAGCAATAATGTGTGGGCCAGCTATGTGTGGGTCAATGATGTGTGGGTCAATGATGTGTGGGCCAGCTATGTGTGGGTCAATGATGTGTGGGCCAGCAATAATGTGTGGGCCAGCTATGATGTGTGGGCCAGCTATGTGTGGGTCAATGATGTGTGGGCCAGCAATAATGTGTGGGCCAGCTATGATGTGTGGGCCAGCTATGTGTGGGTCAATGATGTGTGGGCCAGCTATGTGTGGGCCAGCTATAATGTGTGGGCCAGCTATAATGTGTGGGCCAGCAATAATGTGTGGGCCAGCTATAATGTGTGGGCCAGCTATGATGTGTGGGCCAGCTATGTGTGGGCCAGCTATAATGTGTGGGCCAGCTATGTGTGGGCTAGCTATAATGTGTGGGCCAGCTATGTGTGGGCCAGCTATAATGTGTGGGCCAGCAATAATGTGTGGGCCAGCAATAATGTGTGGGCCAGCAATAATGTGTGGGCCAGCTATGTGTGGGTCAATGATGTGTGGGTCAATGATGTGTGGGCCAGCTATGTGTGGGTCAATGATGTGTGGGCCAGCAATAATGTGTGGGCCAGCTATGATGTGTGGGCCAGCTATGTGTGGGTCAATGATGTGTGGGCCAGCAATAATGTGTGGGCCAGCTATGATGTGTGGGCCAGCTATGTGTGGGTCAATGATGTGTGGGCCAGCTATAATGTGTGGGCCAGCAATAATGTGTGGGCCAGCTATAATGTGTGGGCCAGCTATGATGTGTGGGCCAGCTATGTGTGGGCCAGCTATAATGTGTGGGCCAGCTATGTGTGGGCTAGCTATAATGTGTGGGCCAGCTATGTGTGGGCCAGCTATAATGTGTGGGCCAGCTATGTGTGGGCTAGCTATAATGTGTGGGCCAGCTATAATGTGTGGGCCAGCTATAATGTGTGGGCCAGCTATAATGTGTGGGCCAGCTATAATGTGTGGGCCAGCTATGTGTGGGCCAGCTATAATGTGTGGGCCAGCTATAATGTGTGGGCCAGCTATAATGTGTGGGCCAGCTATAATGTGTGGGCCAGCTATAATGTGTGGGCCAGCTATGTGTGGGCTAGCTATAATGTGTGGGCCAGCTATGTGTGGGCCAGCTATAATGTGTGGGCCAGCTATAATGTGTGGGCCAGCTATGTGTGGGCCAGCTATAATGTGTGGGCCAGCAATAATGTGTGGGCCAGCTATGTGTGGGCCAGCTATAATGTGTGGGCCAGCTATGATGTGTGGGCCAGCTATAATGTGTGGGCCAGCTATGTGTGGGCCAGCTATAATGTGAGGGTCTGGTGGATGTTTACGATGTAATCTGTATGCTGACTACAGTTACCTAAAACTTAGTTTTTTTAAATCTGACCATTCTAAAAATAGCAAGTGATAAGGGAGAAGATTGGCTGTTATCACAGAATAATTCATGCTCAATGTGAACCTTGTAGGTTATCTGTTGCTTTAAAAAGCTAGTCAAAATGTGATAATGGTTAGAAGAAAGTTTCTAAAAAAGTGATAATGGTTAGAAGAAAGTTTCTTACGCCGCATTTTTCTCCATCTTGGCAACATCTCCTTTTAACCGGGCTATACTATTGTCATACTTGTTGAAAAAATCATCAGGGTTCCCTCCCTTTTTAGAGTCTGGTATAGAACTGGAGCCGTTGGGGTGAGACTTGCTGGAGGCTTTGACAGGCTCAGTCTCTGAGCTGACGTGGTAGGATGTGGACGGCACGCTGCCATTGGGCAGCACTGGGTGGGGGCTTGAGGGGGAGACGGCTGTTGAGCCGCTGTACACCACAATGGTGTCCGTCTCATCTAAGGCGTTCTCATTGTCTGGGGTCAGGGGGATGAGGAGCTGCTCCCTCAGGAAGAGATGGTCCGGGTTCCACAGCTTGTTCTCTTTCTTCAGTTCTCCAACCTGCAAAGGAGACAAACACTCTAAATCAGGGGAGACAAACACTCTAAATCAGGGGAGACAAACTCTCTAAATCAGGGGAGATAAACACTCTACATTAGGGGAGACAAACACTTTAAATCAGGGGAGACAAACACTCTAAATCAGGGGAGACAAACTCTCAGGGGAGACAAACACTTTAAATCAGGGGAGACACTCTAAATCAGGGGAGAAAAACTCTCAGGGGAGACAAACACTCTACATTAGGGGAGACAAACACTAGAAATCAAGGTGAGAAAAACACTTTAAATCAGGGGAGACAAACACTAGAAATCAAGGTGAGAAAAACACTTTAAATCAGGGGAGACAAACACTTTAAATCAGGGGAGACAAACACTCTAAATCAGGGGAGACACTTTAAATCAGGGGAGACAAACACTTTAAATCAGGGGAGACAAACACTCTAACTCAGGGGAGACAAACACTCTAACTCAGGGGAGACAAACACTCTAAATCAGGGGAGATAAACACTCTAAATCAAGGGCAGACAAACACTCTAAATCAAGGGAGACAAACATTCTAAATCAAGGGGAGACAAACACTTCAAATCAGGATGAGACAAACACTTTAAATCAGGGGACAAATATCATAAATCTGGAGAGACAGATGTTTTAAATTAGATGACACAAACACTTTGATAATGTACACCTTTTCTAAATATAGTATCAGACTTACTAGGATGTTGTACACACTTTCTAAATATAGTATCAGACTTACTGGGATGTTGTACACTTTCTAAATATAGTATCAGACTTACTGGGATGTTGTACACACTTTCTAAATATAGTATCAGACTTACACATTTTCTAAATATAGCATCAGACTTAGTGGGATGGTGTACACATTTTCTAAATATAGTATCAGACTTACTAGGACATTGTACACACATTCTAAATATAGTATCAGACTTACTGGGATGGTGTACACATGTTCTAAATATAGTATCAGACTTACACATTTTCTAAATATAGCATCAGACTTAGTGGGATGGTGTACACATTTTCTAAATATAGTATCAGACTTACTAGGATGTTGTACACACTTTCTAAATATAGTATCAGACTTACTAGGATGTTGTACACTTTCTAAATATAGTATCAGACTTACTGGGATGTTGTACACACTTTCTATATATAGCATCAGACTTACACATTTTCTAAATATAGTATCAGACTTACTGGGATGTTGTACACATTTTCTAAATATAGTATCAGACTTACTAGGACATTGTACACACTTTCTAAATATAGTATCAGACTTACTAGGACATTGTACACACTTTCTAAATATAGTATCAGACTTACTAGGACATTGTACACATTTTCTAAATATAGTATCAGACTTACATACATTCTAAATATAGTATCAGACTTACACATGTTCTAAATATAGTATCAGACTTACTGGGATGCTGTACTTGAGCGCCAGGCTAACCAGTGTATCCACGCGAGAAAGTTTGTGACTAATATATTTTTTACCATTTTGGCTTGCCATAGTTGGGCTTAGATAGCAAATTGTCATCAGTGGACAAAAAGGGCTACCGTACACACAAAATATGTCCTGGAATCACAATATATCGGAGCAGGGGAGAAAACTCCCGGCTAGATTAAATAAAAATCAGAATAAAAATCAAAGTGAACAACAGGTCAGTCATGAGTGGAATTAAATCGCTGCCACCAAACTACTCGAACACATTATCGCGACCCACTTTGACCAAACTCGTCAATCAAACAACTGAAGACGACCTAGACTCAACAACGAGATCTACCCGAGACCTAGACTCAACAACGAGATCTACCCGTGCACCACAACTGATCGACTTTGAAACGACTGACGGCACGTCTAATGATGACAACACAAGCGCTGCTGTTATCGAAATAATCTGTGGGGCACATGACTACAGCGACAGGGGTCAAAGGTTAGCATGGCTGGCTGGTCACCGCCTACTTTCTACGACAAGCACACGGGACACGGTGGATTCAGTGCTCACACGTCACACTGGTGTGCGTCACACACTTGTGTGTGTGCTGTGTTACACACTGGTGGGTGATGTTTAACACACTGATCATTGTATGTGTTTGACGATAGACAGCCCACTGAATGCTTTCTTTCAACGCTGCTTTTCTCTAAGCCAGCCAGATTTACCTTAAGCCCATTCTGTGACGTTGGTGTACGCTATTAAAATAGTTACGTCAAGTGTCCCATTGTGTCAATTGTGTCAAGTTTCCCAGTGTGTCAAGTTTCCCAGTGTGTCAAGTTTCCCAGTGTGTCAAGTTTCCCAGTGTGTCAAGTTTCCCAGTGTGTCAAGTTTCCCAGTGTGTCAAGTTTCCCAGTGTGTCAAGTTTCCCAGTGTGTCAAGTTTCCCAGTGTGTCAAGTGTCCCAGTGTGTCAAGTGTCCCAGTGTGTCAAGTGTCCCAGTGTGTCAAGTGTCCCAGTGTGTCAAGTTTCCCAGTGTGTCAAGTTTCCCAGTGTGTCAAGTTTCCCAGTGTGTCAAGTCCCAGTGTGTCAAGTTTCCCAGTGTGTCAAGTTTCCCAGTGTGTCAAGTTTCCCAGTGTGTCAAGTTTCCCAGTGTGTCAAGTTTCCCAGTGTGTCAAGTTTCCTAGTGTGTCAAGTTTCCCAGTGTTTCCCAGTGTATCAAGTTTCCCAGTGTGTAAAGTTCCCCATAACGCCAACATTGGACGTCGTGAGATACTCAACAGTTGGGCTACACAAGTCAATGGGGGGGGGGGGGAAGGGGGCTAAACATGGGTGGACTATCTCAACTCCACGGTTCTCAACGTCTTCTGACACTAGTGACCCAACGGTTGGACGTGGTGTACTAGGTCCTCTTGTAAACTGTGACCTCAGTGTGAGGGGACGGAACTACAAACGTTGAAGGGGCGGAGTTTATTTTCTCCAGTGAGACCACGTGACTTTGTTTACATCTGGTCACGGTGTCCAGTCTAAGGTCAGTACACGGGTCAGTGGCCACGCGACCTGTGGCGTGTTGTTGGGGGAGGGGGGGAGGCAATGACACAGCTCAGGTCAACCCCGTCCCTCTCACAAACTGACGGGCCACAAATGTACACAGACTGTTGGCCACAAATGTACACAGACTGTTGGCCACAATTGTACACAGACTGTTGGCCACACATGTACACAGACTGTTGGCCACAAATGTACACACATTGTTGGCCACAAATGTACACAGACTGTTGGCCACAAATGTACACAGACTGTTGGTCACAAATGTACACAGACTATTGGCCACTCAGCCAGACTAGATGTCCCATTATTAACCCAACTTTACAAGTGACTTACTACAGTCAGCAACTCAAAGCTTCTACACCAGGATAGAAATTGTCTAACCAGACCAGCAAGAGAACACAGAAAAACGAATCAAGTGAGTAAGTTGGCTGCCACACAAGGAAAATCCCACACACTGACTCGAATGTTGGAGACAGAGTTGCAGTAGATCCAGGAATACACAACGTCACTGACGGCTACACTACAGGCACAGAACTCGCTCGGCCAGACTTTTATAGCAACCCGAGGCTAAACAAGGGCTCGCGTGACGTCACGGCCGGTGAAGGTGACCCCGCGAGAGTGACGGTCCTTGGCTCGACTTGCTTCACTGTCGCATCTTGTTTGTCAGCTGACTCGTGACACGGGGGGGGGGGTGTTATATCTACACGGGGGGGGGGGGGGATATATCTACACGGGGGGATATATCTACACGAGGGGGAGGGGGGGGGGGCTGATATATCTACACCGGAGGGGGGCTGATATATCTACACGGGAGGGGGGCTGATATATCTACACCGGAGGGGGGGGGCTGATATATCTACACCAGAGGGGGGCTGATATATCTACACCGGAGGGGGGCTGATATATCTACACGGGGGGGGGGGTGATATATCTACACGAGAGGGGAGCTGATATATCTACACGGGGGGGGGGGGGGGGTCTGATATATTTACACGGAGGGGTTGTGATATATATACACGGAAGGTGGTGGGATTATATATCTACACGGGAGGGGGGATGGGATGAAATATCTATCTCAGGATACATATGACAGTCTGACTAGTCTATTCCTAAGTCAGACTGACAACTCTATGACAAACTGACATATCGTTGACAGTCTAACAACTCTATGTCAGTCTAACAGGAGTGACAACTCTATGACAACTCTATGACAGTCTGACAATTCTATGACAGTCTGACAATTCTAAGACAGTCTGACAACTCTATGACAGTCTGATAACTCTATGACAGTCTGACAACTCAATGACAGTCTGACAACTCTATGACAGTCTGACAACTCTATGACAGTCTGACAAATCTATGACAGTCTGACAACTCTATGACAGTCTGACAACTCTATGACAGTCTGACAATTCTATGACAGTCTGACAACTCTATGACAGTCTGACAACTCTATGACAGTCTGACAACTTTATGACAGTCTGACAATTCTATGACAGTCTGACAACTCTATGACAGTCTGACAAATATATGAAAGATCCAACAGCCCGCAACACAAAGGCAACCGATGCCAAAAATCAAGTACAACCGTCCCGAAATGCGCCCCCCCCCCCCATTTCCCCAGTTACACGTAAGAAATGTGAAGTCACTGATGCACAACATGGGAGCGGACATCACAAGGTAAATGTAGGTAGGTTGTAGCCTGTAGCTACACACACACACAGGTAGCCAGTACATTAGCTGTCTCCCCATTTTGTGTGGGAATATTTCGTTTAGCGCCCCCCCCCCCCCCAACCCCAGACATGAACGGACAGCTAGCTCCGTCAAACTATCAGCAGTTGGACAAGGAACCATTGTACTGCCCTGATGTCTAGATCCGTCATTCATCTTTAGGTCCCGTGTTGCCTCAATACGCTTTCAACTCGAGGCAACAAGTATTCATCGTCTATTGGACTTCCAACAATAAGGCTCCTGACAATGACATAATCAAGTGCTTG